TAGACCTAAACCTCTTATCAGACACATTTAGTAAAAATAATATAAACATATTGAATATGTTTAACATGAGGTCTCCCGTTTTGTATTCTGTGTTGAAAAGATGGATAACCTGTTGACACAAATGTAAATCATCCCATCCCCCCCCCCCCCCCCCCCCCCCCCCCGAATGTTATATGGCATATGGAAATTAATTAATATATCTTTTACAAAATTTAGAGGTTCTGAAAAGAACATTATATGAGGTTTAAACGTAATTTATTTTTATACTAGATATGTCAATGAGTACCCGGTTAATCGGGCACTTGATCAAATGTCCTTGTATTGAATACTGAAATCGGTACTCGGTTACTCGGATGTACAAATTTTTCATATTTCAAAGTGCATATATTTATTAAAAACTTACCAAAAAATGTGATTTAAATACGCATGGTCCATATCTGTACAGAAATTAGCATCACCTACAACAGTTTATACTTGTTTTCGCTTGTGGCTGTGTTCATGTTCATACAGTAATTACCATGACCAATCACTGGAAACCATACACAGCTGTTCTCACCTCTTGTGACCCTAATTTTTGGATGACTTTATTTGTTTTCAATGAACATCGTTTAACTATGATTTATTAATTATCCTTACATTATTTAATTAGTATGTGTTAGCGAAATCATACATACATAGAAATACAGATACCAATTCAAAGGTGAAGAAATATTTAAAAATAACCGAAGATTTAATAAAATGTTAAAAGTCAGCTGTGCAAAGTACCGTATTTGGCCGAATATAATACGCATTGGTGTAAAATACGCACCCCCATTTTTGAGCCTGAAACTGGGGAAAAAATGCAGTTCGGTTGTATTATACGCAGCAGAAAATTTTTCCAAGCGGTGTTCTGAACTTTTGAAAATCGCGGTAATTTGCTATGAAAATCGGCGCGGAGATAAAGTGCCGAAAATTTACAGAACACAATATTTTATTCAAATGCGTTTTTATTTCTTAATCTTGACTTTCCATATCACGGCAATCTGGAGAAATTATTTATTTTTAACAAAGCACGAGATAATGTGGCATTAAAGTATTAACAGAGTTTATTATTAATTTTTTTTTGGCATACGTTGATATTGAAATTATACGTCGCCGTATACTATTCTTTGTAGAAATAATTTTATTTCAACAAAGCACGAGATATTGTTGCGAGTTTAACAGTTGTCAAATTTGTTTTTAGTTTAAGGTAATCATGTTGAAAATTGCGTAAATTTAACAGGGCAAGCGATATTGCAACATCAAAGTATTCATAGACTACGATTTTCCTCTTCTGAACTTGAAATTAATTAATTAAATAAATAGCTGATGTTATAAAAATAAAATCAAAATTGAACAAGCGTGTAAAGTTATCAACACACCTCCAAAGCTGTGAAAAATGATGTACAAAGGTGGGATATATGTCTTCATACATCGAGGTAATCTTCGTGGATATCTTATTTTCTACAGAGCACGGGTAAATGATAACACTTAAGTTTCAACCTACTTCATATTTCCTTTTTTAACTCTCAATCATTTTAACACGAGGCCGATATAAGATAAATTAAAATTACATTTAACAAGCGTTTAAACTGTTTAATGTGTCGTAATCACATACGAAAGATCATAAACCAACCCCCGATTTTTAGCAAAGAAAATAATCAAAGCCATTAATAAGGGCAGTTAATAATCAGCGCTCTAACTGTAAAAACAATGCTTTGGAGTTGGTAAACAATTTAATTGCCTGGAGGGGTGTTGAGGGGTAATTATCAAGTGACAAGCGCATGTGTTCACAGCATTGGCTTCCATTCATTGGGACGTATAGAGGGGTGTTTACGTTGAAATGAATTTTCACTGAGTTATTTAAAACCTAAAATAAATGTTATTTTATTGTATTTCATTAAAAAATGACTTATTACTTTTTTTGACCGGTGTCTGACAGATTAGGTACATATGTACTATGATTACGGAAGCACGTGGCAAAGGAATGTATGAACATCTATAAATAACATCGTTAATGGCGGCCTACACGGAGACGATGAACATGCAGCTCAAATTAATTTTAACTTGCTTTTAAATTTAATTTAACTATCAAAAGGTTATAAATATAACATTTTTAACAAGCCTACATTCCAATAATAACTTTCCGAAGTTTTAAATACGGCGATAAACAACAAGAAATTGCATAAGTCTCTAGGTAATACTACGGTATGTGCGTATGATAGCCGTGTTTCACATGAAAGAAAAACCTATCAAAATCCCATTGTGGTGTAAAATACGCACCCCTTTCTCACAGAAAATTATTTTGGGAAAAAAGTGCATATTATATTCAGCCAAATACGGTAAATATAGCGTATACGGGGGGAAACAGCCATATATTTAAGGAATCAGTCTAGTTTGTTGGGTATGCCAGGTCATCAACGGCAGTTGGAAACATTAGGTTAATTTATGCATAACAAGTGAAGTTGTAAATATTGAGAAATCAACTTCCTTAACTTTCTGAGTTATCAGAGAATTCAAAATATTTTGAAATGTAAATAATATACGACTCATGATCACGACAAAGTCCATTCCTTAAGATATTCTCTTTCACTAGTCTAATCATTACAAACTTGCATCCTTCTCTTCCTTTGATCAAATTGTCTTCCTAAACAAGAACTGCAAAGCATTTGTAATTATTAATTTGGTGTATTAATTGATCATATCTTTTGTGCTTGTTTGAAACATAAACTAAGTACCAAAAAATAATTTTTGTTGGGCTCAATGTTTATGTACATGCATTATAAATGAAAGAAAATTTTGATGGGATAAAGAGGTCTCAATAAAATCAACAAACTTTTACATGTCCGAGTAACCGATTCTCAAATATTGACCACTTTGTCATCCAGAATATATACTGATAGTGCATTATGAATAGAAAAAAAATTTAATGAAATCATGTTAAAAATACAGTTTTCAATACATGTACTGTGTTCAAATAACTTTTGTAATTGTCTGAAATTTCAGTACATAAATTTACAGAGCAAAGTAATTCAAAAATAACCTAGCTAGGAACTCCCCCCTCTCCATCCAAAAACATTGACCCCTTGTAAGTTGGAAAGGAGCATGATATGTATGGAGTTCATGAACTGAACGAAAATAACCACCTCCTCCCAACTAATGCATACAATGAACTTCCTTGTATGTATGTGAAGGGTGAAGGTGGGCGGGAGTTGAATATTTAACAGTTTAAGTTATTATTTCTTCCAACTTATGAGAAGCACTTAGATAGATTGACCTCAAAATCAATAGAGTTCTTCTTTAGGCCAAATATAGTGAGTTGCTATGTAAAATTTCATTGCGAAAGCTCAAAGGCTTCTCTAGATTTTGTGTGGAAACGAAAGTGTTACAGACAGACAGAAATACAGATGGACAGACAGACAGACAGACCAAAATTAATATCCCCCACTTTCAGTGAAAGCGGGGGACAAAAATGACGTGGTACATGAAAACAAATTATTAAATATGACGTCAATTTTATAAGGTTATGTACTTTAATTATCTGGAAAATCCATAATGAGGCAAGATACACCTGTAATATTTACAGGTTATATTCCCCATTATTTTTTGCTCTACTGGTCTCTGAAAGAAGAGCTTATGCGATAATAAGGTTTCCATCTGACATTTGTCTGTCTGTCTGTAAATAATTTTTTCAAAATGCTACTCCTCCTACAGTTTTGGTCTGATTTCAATATAACTTGGTACTAGGGCCAAAACAATACGCCCCCTCCACAATATGGTACGTATTGCGATACTTGTGTCACAATTCAATTTTTTCAATACGATACATTTTAAAAAAGAAAAAATCATAAGGTTAAAGAAAACATGTATTCAGATTTCAAAAGGCAAGTAAAAGGTTGTGATACAATAAAGAGCACTACTTGAGCTTCTGTAGATTAAAAGAGCACTCTGTTCGTGTCAATACCTGCAGTGGCAGCCTGCTCTGAAACTTTCTCCATCGCAATTTTCTCCCTCATCTGTGTCAAACTATTAAAATGAGGTCGAACCTGATCTATTTCAAGGAGTAACCAAACCCGATTATGAAAAAACGTACCGAATCGAAAATTGAGATAGTGAATCGAACATTGAACCGAGCAGTAATATTGAACAGTATCGATACTTCGGTGAATCATTTCAGCCCTACTTGGTACACTAACAAAAGCATACATTTTTAGCCATTTTTTGATGAAGTTTTCAGGATATGGGATAAATGATGCAATTCATGACATCATAATGCCTCAACTTGCCAGAAAATGGGTCATTTTTAATAGACATGCAGTCCTTAAGATTCCAAATGATATTTAATGCATTGTTAACTAAAACTAAGCAGTTTAGATTATAGAAATTCACAGGGCCAAAAAAAGCCCTAAGCGAACCTTGCTCTTTCGTCACATTTGAGAGTTTTCACTTCGGGAAACACAGGGCTTGCCTATGATTGATTTTTATATACAAGATATATTTGATACTAAAGGATGAAATACTTAATCATAGTTAACTTTGTAGATATGCAAACTTGCACCCCTTGTTTTCTAAAGCAAAAATGTGCCTTTAAATTGATTAAAATTGGGGGGGGGGATTAAAAAATTGAGAAATTTTGTATCCAAGGGTATCCCATTACTTTAAATCAACATTAATTTTGAAACAGGGATGACTGCAGCTTTTTGATTATGAACTATTTCATCATTCTAAGTGTCCCCTACCCCCAAAGCAGGAGCCAAGTGGGGTTTTAGCCCATCTTGTTCTTTGTCAAAATCATTGCCTGAAGACCACTTGTGCGAGATGTTAATGGATAAGAATAAACTTGGACAATGGAAATCAAGTGACCATTAAGGCCAATAAGCCTCTTGTCCATTTAGAGCTTTCTGAGACAAATAAACTTCCTGTATTTTTTACAATGTAAATGTCTTAGACATTTTATTATAATGCAGTCCCTTGGGTTGTAGAATCCATGCCTCGGGTGCAGCTGGTGGTAATGGGGTATGGACAACAGGTGGATCCCAAGGCACATTGGTGGGTGGACTCTTCCAGCTAATATCTGGAGAACAACTCTACATACTAGTCGGCCAGAAAGGGGCTGATGCCTGCACCCTAAAAGTAAGTTGCAGGAATATGTGTTTACAAATAAACTTTATTTTGGAGGGTTTGGAGTATAATTAGGGCTTTTTGTCTTCAGTTTAAAAGACTTGTTTTTGTGATGCTTTTATTATACCTCTACCTTGAAAAGCTGAGGCATATAGTAATGGGGGTGTTCGCCCGTATGTCCTTCCATCTGTACATGCATAACACATGGGGGTACCCACAATCTAATTAAAATTAGACCTTTCATCTCGCTCTTCGTAAATTGATTTGTCGCTCGTGAAAGGATCTTTTCAGGAGCGACAAATCAATTTACGAAGAGCGAGCTGAAAGGTCTAATTTTAATTAGATTGGGGTACCCATCTCTTATCTTCAACTCCTCCTTCACCACTTAATAAAATTTAGAGACTCTCACAGAATCTTTCTAACATAGTACCATTGTGCACCTCCTTTTTTTTGTTTCGACAGAACATGGGAACTGGCATTCTTTCTTTAACATCTTGAACATTTGGGGTACCCATCTCCCATCCATGACTCCTCCTATACCACTGAATAAGATTTAATGAGCCTTTCACAGAACCTTTGTTGCATAGTGTCATTGTGCACCTTTTTATTTTTGTTTTAATCGGACAGATATTTGGGGTTTCCCATGGCAAAACATGGACACTGCCATTTTTTCTAATATGTTAGCGGTGTGACCGTAAGTTTAATTTAGATCGGGCTCGATCGTCAAACTGCACGTGACATTTGGTGTGTCTAAACTCTGACGTCATATGACGTCGTATTTAAGTTGCATTACCAAACCGAAGCTTCAACATTGTTGACTTTAATGAAGAACGTTTTATTTACTAATCTGCAATATATCCATTAAATCAAGGAGAGTTTATTTTTTAATATTTACATTTGCTATGTTTTTCTACTAAGCCAACTGTGAAATTGATTTGAAAGTCATTTTTATGTATACTCACGCCTAGAAATATACAGGACGAAACTCGCGTTAAAGTGACGTCACAATGAGGCTACAGAGACATTAATAAAAAATATGACAATATAGGGCAGCGAGAAATTCAAAAACTGAGTATATTTTTGGAGCATTTAAGCATGTAAAATGGAAATATAAGGAATGTTTTTAAGTTTTGTGTGAGTTATTGGTGTGTAAATCACACAGACTTGCACGTAGGCATATTTTTCATGAAGCGCTAGCGCGCTTCATGAAATATGCCTAAGTGACAAGTCTGTGTGATTTACACACCAATAACTCACACAAAACTTAAAAACATTCCTTAATTAAATGTTTGTTGTTATTCTCGCGAGAACGTAGCTTAAACAAGCGATGCATTGTGGGTCCAAAAGTTACTGCAGAAAAAAATTTGTTTGGATCAATGTGTAAGTCCGAATTTTCTCTTCGCCAAGGCGTTGTCGTTAGAACTCGCATTGCGATTGCGATCGCATTGGGTACCCATCTCTTATCTGCAACTCCTCCTACATGTATACCACAATATGGTGGGTACCCATCTCTTATCTGCAACTCCTCCTATACCACTGAATGAAATTTAATGAGACTTTAACAAAATCTTTATTGAATAGTGCCATTGTGCAACTCTTATTTTATATTCTGATTGGACAGAATAAAATGGACTTTCTCAGTATACTCATATTGGAATGGGGATACCATTTTGTGATCTCAGTACCTCTAGTTTTTTGTGTTTTTTTATTTTATCATATACTTAGTAGTAAATACACCAATTCTGCACTGTGCGGTATGGGTGACGTCGCAATACCCCATATCAAGGACCGGTCCAAAAGTCCATATCACATATCAGACCGGCGGGCAAAAATACATATCAAACCGGAAGTAACGTTTGTTTAAAGTTTAAAAGTCAATTAACTTGATTTTATTTAAATATACATGTAAAATAATTCTTTAATAACTAGGGCTGTCACGGTTCCAAAATTTTTCGGGTCGGGTCGGTTCTGTAAATTTTCGGTTCGGTTTCAGGTTTTTCGGGTCGGTTATTTACATCTATTTTAAACCTTAATTTCATGAATTTAACTTGAAAAATCTTTATTTGTTACATTAAATTTACATTGAAAACAAGTCTTAACCATGCGAATGTCTAGACATCAATGACTTGGCCTACTATTAGCCACAACCTGACCATTCCTGCTTGTTTTGATAATTATCTAATACTTCCGTGACAAGTGTTTTGTCATGGAATGAAGCAGATTTCAGTTGTGATGTTTATTTATCACTGTTATCGTCATCATTCCTTTGATTTCGATGCCATTTTTTGTATTGAACAGACTCTAATATATAAACCAGACCTGAACCGAAATCCGGAAAAATGGATCCGAACCGAACAACTTGAAACGCGGTTCTCGGTTATTTCGGGTACTCGTGACAGCCCTATTAATAACATATGTGGACTTAATTTTTTTCAAATATCTAAAATTGGCTCTATTAGATTTTATAGAAAAAGTTCATAAACATGCACGAAACATTCTTCAATGACTTAATGTGAACTTGGATATTAAGTATTTTAAATATATGATAAATAGAATACTACATACTGAAATCCATATCATATGTCATATCAGCCCTTGGACCTTCGGCCCTCGGGCTGATATGGAGCCACTCGGGCTGATATGACATATGATATGGATTTAAGTATGTAATATTCTCTATATATTCCACTACATTTATTGCCAAGATCAAAGAAATGCTGCGGACATTATTCTCCAAAAAATCACAAACATCGTCAAAAAAATTATCAGTTCAGAAACACATATCAAACTTGTACAGGTGAAATGAATATCTATTTTAAAATCTTATTCTTAAATAGATAATATTGATGTGTTGTCTTGTGCAGTCTAAACAGTGTGTATTGCCTAAAGCAGCTGATAAATGTCGATTTTTAGCTCTTCTGAGCCAAAGGCTTAATGAGCTAATGCTAATGCTATGGCCATTTGTGCTGTGTGTTTCAACTTTTTGGAATATGGGCAATATCTCAAGAACCCCATGGCCAATTTTTGTTATTTTTATTTTGTTATTTTGAATTTGTTACAGAGAGTCTTTGGCCCAAGGGCTCTCATACTAAAAGCAGGGACGTGACTCTTAAACAAGGGGAGATAATTAGGGAAATAACAGAAGTAGTGGTTGCTAAAAAATATTCTTTTCAGGAACCACTGGGTAGATTATCACCAACCTTACATACAAGGATGAAGATATGTTGTAAAAATTATGCAAGGCATAGGGGCAAAGGGCGTGGTCTCAAGGTCACTTCAAAGTTGACCAAAAATTGTTTCATTAAAACTTTGATATTTTGCTTACTATAAGAACTAGGATCATCAAATCTTGACAGTTAATGCATCTTAGAACATTGTATCATTTTGACTCAAAAGTAAGCCACTATGTAACTAATAGTACCTATCTTGCTAAAAATTAGTAAATAGGAAAAAATCTGCTCAAGAATGACAAAGCCGTAATTAGTCATATTAATATGGAAGCATCCTCAGGTAGTGCAGATTCAAGTTTGTTTAGGTCGTGACTCCTGGGATAGAGTGGGGCCACAATGGATGATTGAAATTTTACATAGGAATATGTAGTAAAAAATATGCAGAAAAAAATCTTCGAAAAGCTTCATCTAAAGAACAGCAGAGCCATGATAAGTCATATTGATATGAAAGCATCCTAAGGTAGTGTAAATTCAAATTTGTTCAAATCCTAAACCCCGGGGGTGGGTGGGTCCACAATGGGCAGTTAAAGTTTTATATAGTAATACACAGGAAAAAAAGAATCTTCTGTTCATGAACAGGAAAGCCATGATTAGTTACTGTAGATCATTTTTTATTTGCGAGAACTTTATTTTTGTGTAAATACACAAGACGGTCTGCTTGCGAAAATTTCGTTCTCACGTATATTTTCATGAGTACAGAAAAACAAGAACTGGTGAAAAATTTGTCTTACTTATAAATACCAATTACCCCACCTCTGTTGATTTTTTGATGAAATCCTGGCTTACGATTGGTTGAAGTCTGTCACATGAAGGGGGTGTATTACTTTTACCTAGTCTTTTGAAAATCAATACATGGTCGATAGGGAGTTATCGTTCTTTTGTAACCTTCAAACAACTCGAGTTCACGAGGTTTGCCAAGTGTCTGTTGAAAATTTACAAGTTAACTAATGTAAGTAACAAGATGGAACCTTTTTCTCCCTTTACTGAAAGTCTTCAAAACTGTCAGTACGTTATTACAGCACAAAACACTCACAAAGCAACATTACATAACACAACGTGACGTCGTAATAGGCATTGTATGAGTGATGAAACATATATATAGTGAGAAAAACAATTTTAACGAACCACAGACAATGCATAAATATTTTATCGGTGGGGTAAATTCATTACATAGTTTTTTAGTGACAGGGTACGGGATGATACCTGGTTAGTAAATTTCATACCTGGTGAAATTTACTAACCAGATATCATCCCATACCCTGTCACTACAAAACTATGTAACTAATAATACCTATCTCACAAAAAATTTCGTGATTTCAGCGATTTTTTCCTTATACAACTGGTACCGATAAATGGTACCGTTCCCAATGCCAAAAAACATTTATTTTTTCAAAGGATCAGTGCACTTAAGCTATGAGAGTTGGTTCCCGGTGCTTTGCCAAAAATAAATTTCCAAATTTATAAACTTTATGAATCAGAATTATTAAACAATACCTTAAGAGCAGGGTTTGATATATTATATCACATGGAAATATTAAATAATGCCGAGCGACACTGGTTTTTGCGACGGGGGTCTAGCAGTTTTGTCACATTTCTATTGTTATTCATATGCATACTAGTTTTCAACGACATTGTTTACATCGAGCTGCAACTTGTTCATACGTTTCATTTGCACAGAATGTGTATTTTGATTTAAACATATCCAAAGGGCAATGTTGGACAATTTGCGGCTCATACGTAATTTTTTGAAAAATTCTCCAAACTACGGTCAAGTTAGCTACTAAATTAATAGGTCACCGAGTGTCAACGAATTTTGACCCATTTGATATTATAATCACTTTACTCACGTGACATTCCACTGTTCAATATGCTTTCATTGTGTCTGTCAATCGACTTCAGGGCTGTACACTCAGATATGTATTTAAGTACAAAATCTTACTAAGCATAGACTTTAAATACAGTGAATTATAAGATTTTTCGAATCCTATAAAACTGTGTTAAAATAGGGCAATGCTCTATTTCTTAATACAAGTCTTAACTTACCTTTAATTTTTAAAGCAATCAAAAGTACTTGCATTGGGGTCATCCTATTTTTATCATAGCAAAAAAGCACATGGTAAATAATGGTCAACTTAGCAGTAAAAATATGTTTTATTGGAAGGAGATCAAAAGGAGTAACTACATGTGATAGTAAAAGTTGCTCAAATGCTGCATTATCTATTCTAAAGAGGTTTTTATAACTTCTGGGGCCTTCTCTTTGCACCCCATCTAGCAATGCATTATATGTGCACCAAGTACATGTACGAGTGTTCTGCCGCTATTTCCATTATGATGGTCTTTTCAGTTTTAACACAGTGCATAATGCGATAACAGGACCTCGTTTTCCATTATTGAGAGAGAGAAAGAGATATTGCGAGGGAAACACGTAGAAATACCTAAAGTCTATTAACAATCTAATAAGACATATACAAGAAAGTATTTATAATACAAATATAATACTTGTATTATACTACAAATCTCACCGTGTGTACCGGCTTGAACAACTTCAGCAAAATATTGAAGAATTTTGCAAAAATTTTACTAGGGTCTTAAAGTTTACCTTGTCTTCTTTCACTAAATTGTGTTTTTCATTTGCTATTTTGAAGGAAATTCTGGTATTGTCAGTGTAAATCAGTGCACGATTAGTAGGTAGCTGTGCTAACTCGTATCACCTCCGTATTATGGTCTGCAGGCATCTACAGACACATCCATAAACATTAGTATCATACATGACAATATTTGGATTGCCGAAATGAAACAGCTATTGAAGACATAAGCGGTGATTATCTACATAGTAACGTTGTAGAATTTTTCGTTGAACATGGTTTTTAATATCAAATATACTTGTTCCGTCAATAAAATGTTAATTAATTACAGATAGTTTGTATTTCTTGGAGTTTTCATGTTAACCTAGCAACTCAAATTTTTAGTTAAAATTTATATTTCATTTCCGAATGTTATTATACCCCACGCAACAAGTTGCGGGGGGTATAATGTTTTTGACCCGTCCGTCAGTCAGTCCGTCAGTCCTGTTTTTTTGTCAGCGCAACTCCTCATAAACCGCTGCACAGAATTTATTCAAACTTGGCAGATATTTAGTACACAGTGTGTAGATGTGCATATTACCAGGAAATTCCGATTCCTTTATTTTTTCTGGGAATTTCGGCACTTTTCAACTTCGATTTTTGGCCATATCTTGAATATAGAGATGAACAGTTTGTCAGCGCAACTCTCATAAACCGCTGCACAGAATTTGGTCAAACTTTGCAGATATTTAGGACACAATGTGTAGATGTGCATATTACCAGGAAATTCCGATTCCTTTATTTTTTCTGGGAATTTCGGCACTTTTCAACTTAGATTTTTGGCCATATCTTGAATATAGAGAAGAACAGTTTGTCTGCGCAACTCTCATAAACCGCTGCACAGAATTTAATCAAATTTTGCAGATATTTAGGACACAATGTGTAGATATGCATATTACCAGGAAATTCCGATTCCTTTATTTTTTCTGGGAATTTCGGCACTTTTGAACTTAGATTTTTTTCCATTCTTGAATATAGAGATGAACAGTTTGTCAGCGCAACTCCTCTTAAAGCGCTGCACAGAATTTGGTCAAACTTGGCAGATATTTAGGACACAATGTGTAGATGTGCATATTACCAGGAAATTCCGATTCCTTTATTTTTTCTGGGAATTTCGGCACTTTTGAACTTAGATTTTTTTCCATTCTTGAATATAGAGATGAACAGTTTGTCAGCGCAACTCCTCTTAAAGCGCTGCACAGAATTTGGTCAAACTTGGCAGATATTTAGGACACAATGTGTAGATGTGCATATTACCAGGAAATTCCGATTCCTTTTTTTCTGGGAATTTTGCTACTTTTCAACTTAGATTTTTGGCCATATCTTGAATATAGAGATGAACAGTTTGTCAGCGCAACTCCTCTTAAAGCGCTGCACAGAATTTGGTCAAACTTTGCAGATACATGTATTTAGGACACAATGTGTAGATGTGCATATTACCAGGAAATTCCGATTCCATTATTTTTGCCGTAAGAGTTTTGCCTATTATTGAAGAAACTTTCCAGCTAGGTAATAAGGAAATCCACTGGAATCAGCTTTTGTCATGAAATTTTATGTGAAATATTTTATGACCTTAAAAGACCCCTATTGATTTTGAGATCAAAATATTAATGACTTAACACACACACAAAATATTGGATAGTTCTCATCCCCATTCTCATATTACCAAGAAATTTTGATTCCATTATTTATCTAGAAACTTCAGCCCAATTAAATTTGTAACATACAAAGATATGAATGTCCTTATTTGCAAGTAGTTTTAATGTGATGATTTTTTGCAAGTAATGCCCCTTTTTGAATTATACTGTGTATTTAAAATGCACTGTGCCATTCATTACGTGTTGCATTGTCGAGTTTTGGGGGAGCATGGGGTATGTGAGCTTGCTCACTTTTTCTTTCATTTATCTATACATGCATATAATAATATATGTATCACCGTGAATACTACGTACATGTATACTTTGTTTCACCACACGTTTGTATTACTACGTACTACATGTACAGTGAATTTCAATTAAATGTAGTGTGACATCGAAGTCATGTAAATGTGAATCTTTCCTAAAACATAATTTATTCTTTGGATTGAAAATCGTTCAGCATATAAAACGAAAAATGATAAAGCTAAAGCAAAAAAAGGGAGGAGTAGCATTTTTTTAAATATATATACGAAAACTTAAGATTGAGCTGATTCGGTGCTAGGCGGCTAACATATGGATACGAATGGTGAAAATAATCAATATGTATGGCCATGAATCATTTATTATTTGTGTGAATCATGAAACTACACAATCTCTCTCTCCTCCATTTAAATTCATACTGTGGAATCAATCTTGAAATAATGTGCAAATGTTTACATTCTACTTCCATGCGATTTAAATATCTCCGCCCATTTGCAGGTACCTTAAATTCGAAAGTGGTCCAATTCAAATTTCCGGAATTTAAGGCTTATACATGTTCTTTTCAATGACGTGTGGATTTATAGAAATATGTTTAGCAAAAAATTTGAAGTATAAATATCAAAAGCATATGAATGCACGATAATGATAGATTAATTGAGCAATATAGTCTAATTCAAGGCTTAAAATGGGTGGCCGAAAAGGTTCCAAATGACACTCTAAAGTGCACTCATTCTTTTGAGACTAAAAATTCCCAATTCAACTGCCAAGCAACAGACTACAATATCATCATATTTCTTTTTATATAAACATTGTACAAGTTGACTAATTGTTTCATTTCCACTTAAATCGAAAGTAGAGATTAGTCGTAATATGGCGGAACCTGTGGTGTAGACAACGTAGCGTCATACATTATTACAAATTGAAAGCTTGAAAATGCGAAAACAAGGGATGTTGATATGAAAAACAATAAATACTTGTTGTTTATTCTTTAAAACACAGAGTCATTTGTTTAAATGACAGAAAATTCTCCTTTGTTCTACTTCGATGCTATTTTTCCCAATTGAACCGGTACTGGAATCTTTCTCAACGGGTAGAAAAAAATTGCTGGATTTACAGTATATTGATATGGAAGCATCCTCAGGTAGAATAAATTCAAGTCCATGGGCCTCTTGTATTTTATACCATGGAAATGTTGCAGTGTTACATTCAATCTCCCTTGCAGAGTTGTCGTTCGTTTCTCTCTCAGACACCTCTGCGATGGGCTCACGTCAAGATTTTTGACATAACGTAAAAAACATGACATTCCAAGGGTAATTTCAAGTTAAACAAATAGTTCTAGATATACTTAGTAAATATCTACCTTAAAAGAGAAACATTTGTGCAGGCATTTAATTATAATGAATTTAAACAAACGCACTATTTCTCGTGCTTATCACTGTGATATACGTGAGCCAACGACAGAGGTGAATGTATGAGCCGATGGTAGAGAGTGTTATTGATTATGTAGAAGTTTCTTAGTGACATCTTCTTTCAGGTACCAGATGCAGTGATGAAGATCTGTAAGGCTAGGGGCTACCATAACAATACACTGGCATCCTGGGTTGGAGCAGGAGGTGGTGGTGGTGGCGGAGGGGCATCCTTTATTTTCAAGGTTAGCTTTTCTTCTTTTTTTATTATAGATGACCAAGAAGTAGGTAAAAATACAGTTTCCCAAGAGTAGACAAAGCAAAGTATGGTTATCTTTTGTGATTTGATTTGGAGGGAATTTTAGATGCCTGTATTATTGTAATGCCTGCTGGTCTAGGGACATAAGTTTGAGAAATTTGCGGAAGTGTGTGTCATTTCATCATAGATCAAATTTTCTGTGACATTTATTAAGCACTGCATGTATGGTTTTTGAAAATAATGAGTACCCAACTTTCAAAGACATTGACAAAAGGTCATTCATGACTACAAATATACTAGTATAAATATGAAAGTGTCTTAGACAAAAAAAAGAGTAGGTTGGAATCATAAATCAAATTAATTATTTTTCGTGTACACAAGGCTGTCCAAAAAGTTCATGGACACATTCTATATTTTTTTCTTTTTAGCTCACCTGAGCTGAAAGCTCGTGGGCTTTTCTGATCTCATTTTGTCTGTAGTCCCTCTGTCCGTCTGTAAACTTCACATTTTCAATTTCTTCTCCAGAACCACAGAGCCAAATTCAACCAAACTTGCCACAAAGCATCCTTAGCTGAAGAGGATTAAAGTTTGTTCAAATGAAGAGCCACACCCTCTTTCTTGGGGAGATAATTCAGAAATAGTAAAAAATTTGGTGGTATCTTTTAAATATCTTCTTCTCAAGATATCCAAGTGCCAAAAAATTTGAAACTTATATGAAAACTTCTTTACATAGTGTATATTCAAATTTATTCAAATCATGACCCCTGGGGTAGGGTATGCCACAATGGGGAATCAAAGTTTTACATAGGAATAAATAGGAAAAAATCTCAAAGAATCTTCTTCTCAAGAACAGCAAAGCCATTATTAGTCATATTGATTTGGAAACATCCTCAGGTAATGTAGAAATCATGACCCCCAGAGGAGTAGGATGGGGCCACAAGGGGGGGGGGGGGTTACATAGGAATACATATAGGAAAATAATTTGAACAAGATGTGTTTGTGAAACATGATGCCCCCGTATGGCAGCGTATGGTGAAGCTTAAAGTTTCTCAAATGCAAGTCAAAATCAGCAGGCCAAAAGATAAAAAATGTTGGTACCCAAAGAAAGGTCTTGTCTCGAGGAATATACCTATGATATTTGAAAGCCCTACCTGCAACTGTTCAAAAGTTATGGCAAAGGCTAAAGTTTTTTAAAAGTAAGTAAAACACCAAGGTCAAGGTCAAAGTGGTTGATATCCAAAGGGAGGTCTTGTCGCAAGGATTACATGTGTGAAGTATAAAAGCCCTAGCACCAACTATTCAAAAGTTATGACCAAGGTTAAAGTTTTTCAAAAGTAGGCCAAACTCCTATGTCAAAGTCAAAGGGTCAAAGTGGTTGATATCCAAAGGAAGGCCATGTCACAAGGGTTACATATGTGAAGTATGAAAGCCCTAGCACCAACTATTCAAAAGTTATGACCAAGGTTAAAGTTTTTTCAAAAGTAGGTCAAACTCGTATGTCAAGGTCAAAGGGTCAAAGTGGTTGGTATCCAAAGAAATGTCTTGTCACAAGGAATACACATGTGAAGTTTGAAACCCCAAGCACTAACTGTTCAAAAGTTATGGCCAAGGTTAAAGTTTTTCAAAAGTAGGTCAAACTCCTAGGTCAAGGTCAAAGGGTCAAAGAGGTTGATATCCAGAGGAAGGTCTTGTCACAAGGAATACACATGTGAAGTTTGAAGCCCCAAGCACCAACTGCTCAGAAGTTATGGCCAAGGTTAAAGTCTCATAAAATTTTGCAAAAGTGGGTCGAACTCCAAGGTCAAGGTCAAAAGGTCAAATATGATGGTACCCAAAGAAAAGTCTTGTCACAAGGAATACACATGTGAAATATGAAAGTCATAGCTCCTACCAATCAAAAGTTATGGCCAAGGTTAAAGTTGACAACAGACAGACAGACAAACAGATAAACAGACAAACAGATAAACAGACAAAGAGACAGACAGGACAAAAACAATATACCACCGGGATCTTTCGATCCAGGGGCATAAAAAATCTTAAAAAGTCTTGCAAGAACAGCAAAGCCATGTTCACTGAAAATGACTTGTGACCATGAGTTTTATTCAACTGTTCAGGACAATTTAGACCAGCACCAAGAAATTCAGGCTTAGCAATTATTTTTGGAAATTGTAAATTTTCTGGAAAACATGGCATCGCTATTAACACAGCTCTTTTAATCTTCTTCAAACTGTCCTACTGGAAACTTCCTGAGGTTTAGATTCATTAAAACTTCTGGTTAAATCTGGCAAAGTCTGTCACCTATTCTTCTTAACCAATCTTTCCAAAACACAATCTCCACTATCACCAATCTTCTCTTCCTCAATATCTCTCCATTTTCCACTAAACCTCTTTCATAATTCCTTTTCAGCACCTTCTGCACAGTATCTTGGTTTTTACTCATAGAAAAAAATCGTCTGCTTTTGATCTGTCAACAGGTCTTTCCCTCTCAGAGCCATTTTGTATGACATGTTTTCTATTCTAAGAATACACTAATTTGGAACCCCCATCGTATATGGTGTCAGGTATGACACTTATGTACGGATGCATATGACAGTCAAAATTTGTTACTTTTAAATCACTGAGAAATCGAGAAAGAAAATGCATGTTTACTTGTTTATTTGAGTACTGTATTATGGCAGTGTTTGAAACTCACTGCAAAATTAACCAGACATGCAGGGCTGACTGCTAGTAAAAGTTGTTAGCCCTGCCAAAGATCTACTAGCCAGAGAAAATAATTGTCTTTTATAAATTTGTTTTTAACGATTATTTAATTAGAACCAGGTCACCATAACTTCGAACCAGAATCTGTAGATTGATGAATTCTTCCTCTTGGCTTGTTACACTTTGCTACCAATACTATTAGTTGATATGAAAGAGATTTATCAAATTTATGAATTTTAATTATCAAAAATTTTAACACGTCCAGATGGGTGTCAATACATGCAAATTTGTTCGCCCGCTGCAAAATTTGAGCATGTTTGGCAGTCGGGCACACGGTTAGTTCAAACACTGATTATGGCAAGGTACTGTATACTACAAATGAGTAAAATATACAAAAATCAGAGCAATGCACAATAAATTATGAATGTAATTAGCATAAATACTTTGTATATACAAGACATATGGCCCTGTCCAACACAGAGCCAAATTCATGAAAACATTTTGATTTTCATCACAAAAGGTCTTCCTTACATTGACAACACTTCCAAGTTAATGAGATAATACTAGTATTTTATAAATTTTGATAAAGACAATGATGAGTAAATACAGTCAAACCTTGTTATCTCGAACTTGATGGGACCGAGAAAAAACTTTGAGATATCCAATGATTCGAGATAACGAGGGTAAAATACTTAAAGACCAAGTGGTTGGGACTTCTAAATCAGTTCGACATATCCATGGTGTTTGAGATATCAGTGTTCAAGATACCGAAGTTCAACTGTATATAAAATCCTAGCCATACACAATATTTTACGTGTAAATACTTTGTTTATACAGACACTAGATCATAAATAGAAAAACAAAAGCCAGATTTAGTTGAATTTATGTTGAATATACTGACTTCCAGTATTGTCTCGCATTTATCTGTTTCATTTGCTTATTCTGATTGGTCAATAGCAGAGGTCAGAAGAGTTCAAAATGTGTAATCTCACTAGACGGTGGGATAGTAAACCCTGTCAAACTTAGCCTATTCAGTCAAGGGTTTATGTGGAGCGGAGTGGATTAGAAACCCTGGACTTGGAAAGATGCAATTGATAGAAATTAATTAAAACTCTAATAGATTTACTAAATTCAGATACAGGTAACTGTTGATGGCTCGAACTTCGATCTCCCGAAGTTCTTGATCGCTCGAAGTGAGTCTCAGGTCCCGAATTTTTCCCCTATATAAGTAAGCAAATTTACTCTTGATTTCTCAAACTCTTGATCTTTCGAAACCCTTGATCCCTCGAGGTCAAAATGCAGTCCCGCTATGCATATTCTATTAGAATTTACCCTCGATACCTTGAAGTGGCTATGTGTACACAAGGTTATATAATTAGCACCTTTACCTGGACATTTAAATGGCCCCAGGCAGAAGATGCAGGTCTCAGGGAACGGGATGTTTATTCAGTTGACACTTATGCTGCAAGGTGATAACTGATTTATAATTAATCATATTTTGCCTATATGCTATTAAAATAATTATCAGCAACCGTCTTGCGATAATTTAGAGACGCAGTGTCAGTGAAAAGTAGTAATTGATTAAAAGACAAAACACTAATTTAATTATTTTGAGTCAGTGTCAAAGTTAAACGAAATATGAAAAAGCAGAAACAGCCTCAATGTCAATATGACAACTATTATTGGACAAATACTTACAGAACTGCGTTCAATGATCATGTTTGGAATAGTCAATGCTATGTACGATGCTGTAAAATGTTTTCATGTAACGAATGCGTAGTATGATGTCCGTATTACAAAGATTAAATAAATATACATGAAATGACGATATACATTTTTGCTTCACTCAGTTCAATGAAATATTCATCTAAATTACGAAAAAATATCGTTGTCTTATAAAAACCATGTGTAAAAGGTTAGCACTGCATGAAAATCATTACATCTGGTAAGACTAATTTTAAAACCTGTCAACAAACCCGGAAAATTCCGGACTCTTGAAAACTCGAACTCTTGATCTCTCGAAGTTTTTCCTCAGTCCCGCGGACTTCGAGGTATCGAGAGTTACCTGTATATCTTGACTCAGATTACATCATTAAGGTCTTAGATGATGGCAAGACTTACCATTGTAAATGGAAAGACATTAGAAATTATTAGGAAAAAAACATTCAATGTAATTTAATATAGAAAAATGGAAGTGGAGAAATAGATTTGCTGATGGTAGCAGGAGGTGGAGGTGGGCTAGCCCGCAGGAACATCCATTCTGACACTCAACAACTGAACCCTGCCAGACATCTAGCTATGCCAGGGAGTGGCTATAGTGGATTCACCAATCCTGATGGGGCTGGTAGGTCATATGATATCTCTGTGGAATACCCGAATTGAGTTAATTTACTTCAGCCCTAGAAGGTCGGGTTTCAGTTCTCCAATTCTTAATGCTTAGTCATTGATATATTTGAATTTCAAACACATCTTCCTTCAATCTTTATGTAGCAGGAATGAATTTTGTTATATGCACATATGCCTTGTATTTCAAATGTAATGTCGTTATTAATGTTTTCATGCAAATATTGGTATACTGCTTTATCCCCCATATCATCTGTTTATATTTACAAACCTTCTCAGATAATAGCACTTGTTGCTTCCATCAAATCTTACAGGTAAATGTTTACGTTTGATGAATGATGATCTAAATCTCATTGGCTATCAATACGGAAGTTAACCTTTTGGGTGTTACTAATTTCAGTCAAAGTTCATACCCTTGGGGTGTATTCACTAGATTTCAAGTTAAAGTTTCTATTGTTTCCAAAGAGTATATAAACCCGTGTAACTGTTAGACACGTGGGGAATCTTGGAAAGCATTAATTTGCTGTAAGTTCTCTCACTTTAATAAAGGTGTATTAGGTATTTAACAGGTTGCACCCCTAGAAATTATGTTAAGATATTAGGCATTTTGACTAAATTGTCGTCGTCTATTGCTCCTGTTAAATTTATTAGGCCATAAATCTAAAAGTTAAGAGTTAAGATATTTTTAAATAAATAAGGGGTTTTTCTAAATTTCCCTAGGCCTTTTCCCCCAGCTAGGTTGGGCTAGCGTTTCCGTACGCTAGGTTGGGGGGTGATTTTTATACAGTTGTTACGATTTTTTCTACAAGGCAGGAATTTACAGTTGTTATTTATTTATACTATAATTTTTTTTTTTGGTTTGTCTATACAAAGGTTAATAAATTTTGTTGTTGATTGGAACTGGTGTTTTCATTACAATTGACATGAGGTGTTGAAATAAGGTACAGATAAGCTCGGAAGTAGGACCAAGCAAAATCTCAAATCAAAATAAGAACCTGGGAAATAATAAACATGAAAGTATAGGAGAGTGTTAAAAAAAAGTATATTCTAGAACCACTAATAAAAATGGTGTTCTAAGGTTTACTCCTATTACATTTAAATGATAAAATATTGAGAAATAAAATGTTAGCTTACCTTGAAAAGTCTATTTAAACTGTTGGATTATAATTATTTGACTAAAGATTTATCATTTTTTCTGTGTTTCTTTAAAAACACATCGCAGAGCTAGCAATCACAATTATAATCTTCTACAGGTGGAGGAGGAGGAGGATTGAGGATGAGGAAGTATGCACAGTATCCACAAGCAGGCAGATCACTCCTGGAGGGAGCGACCGGTGGACAGTCATGTGAGAAGGCATACAACCTCTCAGAATGGGGTACACCAGGAGGATTTGGAGGAGGAGGTGGGGCCTGCTCCTCAGGAGGTGGGGGTGGGGGATACACAGGTAAAATTTAGTTCAGTCTGTGTTTAGCACTGACTTTTTTGGCTACTGTACCTTTTTTTCCATGTCAAGTCTCCAGTTTAAATGGATCTCCCCCTCCCCCCTTTTTTTTTGCTCACAAGCATTTAAACAAACTTGAATCACATATTCTACCAAGAATGCTTTATGGCAAGTTTGGTTGAAAGTTACCTTTTAGTTCTGGTGAGGAAGTTGAAAATGTGAAAAGTTTACAAATGCCAGACAGACAAATGTACACCGTACACTATGCTAAATTAAGCCTTCAGCTCAGGTGAACTATTGAAGTATCCTCATTTATTAATTGAATAAAAGCCTGGGGATTTTGTTTAGGTTTGTTTAAACCAAGGCCCTGAAGGCTAGGATGAGGCAACAATGGGGGGTTGAAGTATTTACATGGGAATGTGTCATTTTTTCCAAGAACAGGAAGGGCCTAATTACTGCAAAGTCATGTAGCACAGATGTTTTTATTTTAATTTTTTTTTTTTGATTGAATTATTCCTAGCTGTTTGATTAGCTGAGATCCAACATTGTAGAAAAAATAATTTTGTTCGTCTGCTCATGCTTACTTGCCCTTTGGGCAAGTGAATCTGAAAGTTAATGTTTATCCCAGGTGTGACCAGATTACAGGAAATTCAGCATTTGTAACCAATCTAGCTTTACGGAGTGCAGAATAGACAGTATCCTTGCTACACAGAAATTCTTTTACTACATTTGTTAAAGAAGTGCATCTGACTAAATTTTAAAGCCAAAATAGTCAAAGTTCTTGAGTACTCAGAATCCAGATAAGACAAATTTTATATGGAAAAAAAATATTTTAAAACCTCTTCCCAAAAATAGCAGGGCAACAAGTAAGTAGGGTTCGAGACTTTAAATAGTCCTAACTACAGACCTGTTTACTCTTACAATTTCGCCGTATTTTGAGTCTAAAATACACCTCACGTTTTGCTATTATGAAAATACAGAAATCGAAAATCCATTCGTTTGGATTTCAGCAGTTAAGTTTTCGTTATGATCTGTCTCAGTTTGATGCTTTTTTATCACTAAAAAGAAGAGAAAGATTTCAAAAACTTAAGTGATGTTGGGGTGCCAAAACGCGATGGTTTAAAAAAAATGACAGAAACCCCTGGGAAGACTGCAAGGTATGATTTTCTTCTTTGTTATTAAACCATGTTTTGGTAATCAGAAATGTAGTTTTTCTCTAGTATTAAATATATGTAAAATCGATGGAAAGTGAAATCTTGCGGGCAAATGCTAAATCTCACTGACAAATCTAATAAAAAATACTGAGAGACAACAATATGAGTAAACAGGTCTGTAACTATCTTGGGAGAACTGAAAATTGATATTGGACTAACTAAACATGAAGTCATCAAGCTTGCCCCGTGAGGCTACTGACAATTTTTGTACTATACACACACTAAAAACAATTATCAAGATTCTTAAAAGAAATACATAGCAAATTCAGAATTTATTAGCAAGGTTTAAGTGCTGTTTGAGAAGTGGCTGTCAGATAAATTGGAATGTCTGACCTTGTTATGGCCCAATGTTGTTTTGGTGCAAACTCTCGATAAGTCTCACTCATTTCTTCATCAGCATTGTGTTTGAAACTGTGACAAAAATGAAGAATAAAAGCAACACACTGGTGTAGACAATTGAAAAATGTCTTTGTACTTGCATTCATAAAATGACAATTTTATGCCCTAAAATACAGCCAGAATCTGGAAAATGGCATTAATTATTTTCTAAAATTCCCAGGGGAGGACCATCATACAGCCTCTGTTTACCTAACAGATGGGGAAACACCATTGAATCTATGTTTTGCACTTGGACAACAAATTCATTAACAGGGCTAGTAGGAATTCAGTGTCATTAACCCTGCAAGCTCACTATGCCTTGAAAGTTAGTGTCTACCCCTGGTAACTCAAATAAATATGCAAGAATCTTGGTGTAATGCAGATACATGCTCAGAACTTGGCCAATATGGCTAGGGTAGGCTAGCCCTTACTATCTGAGCATCTAAAATATGCCTTATGACTTCCCTACTTATTCTTCTGCTTTCTGTTCTTCTCCATAAAATGTTTGAAATACATGTACTGCAATATTAATACATAAAATACAGAAATCATAGTCCTTATAGCAATTGCTTGTATTGTCACTGTTCATTTCTATACTTACAATCTAAATCATGTTAAAGTAAACAAAATGGAAAAAAAAAATCTACGTCCAGGAGCCTAGGCATCCCCTAAACCCCATCCTTATAATTTCTTTTTATGAAGTTGGCAGCTCTGTATCAAGTATCAAGAATGGTGGCTCAGGTGAGCATTGAGGCCCTTTGGTCCAATAATAGGAAGTTTATGGCATAACAATTGTTTATATTTATGTGATCACTTTACAGGTGGAGATGTGTCTAGAAATGACAGTATGATTATGAATGGACAAGGTGGTACTTCCTATGTGATCCCAGGTGCCTTGAAGACGCACAGCAGCTACCCAGGTATCTCATTAATGAACCAATAATCCAGCTTCATAAATGTTAAAAAAAAAAAAAAATCAGACCCAAATACTGTACAGGAGCCTTGGAAATACTGGAACTTAGTGAAAATACTGTATACTGTTCATCAAAAAACTGCACAAAATATCATTTTTAGCTCTACTGGTCAGAGACCAGAAGAGCTTATGCGATAGTAAGGTGTCCGTCGTCCGTCCGTCTGTCTGTCTGTCTGTCTGTCCGTCTGTCTGTAAACAATTTTTCAAAACGCTACTCCTCCTACAGTTTTGGTCGGATTTCAATATAACTTGGCACACAAGTAGACTACACTAAGATACATAATGTAGTGCATCGGATTTTGATTTCGATGGACGGTGTTGCCATGGTTACTAAAAATAGAAATTTCTGTGAAATTCCTTTAAAACGCTACTCCTCCTACAGTTTTGGTCAGAGTTCAATATAACTTGGCACACAAGTAGACTACACTAAGATACATAATTTAGTGCATCGGTTTTTGATTTTGATGGACGGTGTTGCCATGGTTACTAAAAATAGAAATTTCTGTTAAATTTCTTTAAAATGCTACTCCTCCTACAGTTTTGGTCGGATTTCAATATAACTTGGCACACAAGTAGACTACACTAAGATACATAATTTAGTGCATCGGTTTTTGATTTTGATGGACGGTGTTGCCATGGTTACTAAAAATAGAAATTTCTGTTAAATTTCTTTAAAATGCTACTCCTCCTACAGTTTTGGTCGGAGTTCAATATAACTTGGCACACAAGTAGACTACACTAAGATACATAATTTAGTGCATCGGTTTTTGATTTTGATGGACGGTGTTGCCATGGTTACTAAAAATAGAAATTTCTGTTAAATTTCTTTAAAATGCTACTCCTCCTACAGTTTTGGTCGGAGTTCAATATAACTTGGCACACAAGTAGACTACACTAAGATACATAATTTAGTGCATCGGTTTTTGATTTTGATGGACGGTGTTGCCATGGTTACTAAAAATAGAAATTTCTGTTAAATTTCTTTAAAACGCTACTCCTCCTACAGTTTTGGTCGGATTTCAATATAACTTGGCACACAAGTAGACTACACTAAGATACATAATTTAGTGCATTGGTTTTTGATTTCGATGGACGGTGGTGCCATGGTTACTAAAAATAGAAATTTCTGTGAAATTCCTTTAAAACACTACTCCTGCTACAGGTTTAGTCTGCTTCTAATATAATTAGGCATACAAGAAGACTATACTAAGATACATAATTTATTGCATTGGTTTTTGAATTCGATGAACAGTGTTGCCATGGTTACTTAAAATAGAAATTTCTGTGAAATTCCTTTAAAACGTTATTCCTCCTACAATTTTGGTCTGATTTCAATCTAATTTGGCACACAGTTAGAATACACTACGATACGTAATATGTATTTTTGTATTTGGGTGAGTGGTGTTGTCATGGTTACTGGTACTAAAAATAGAAATTTCCGTGAAATACTTTCAAAATGCTACTACTCCTAGTTTTCATTTGATTTCAATATAACTTGTCACAAAAGTAGACTACATTAAGATACATAATTCTATTTATTGTTGCATGTTGCAATGTTTCAAATCCAAGTGCTACTTTTCTTTTGTTATACAAACAGACCAGTAGAGCTACAGTCTCATCAGAGACTTCTGGTTAAAAAATGTTAGTATAGTACAAAATGTACAATAACATGTATTGTCATTTATTTATTGCAAGCAATTTTTGCAGCTTTTAAAATTTCATTTAATTTAAACAGCTTGATGAATTTTATAAAAAAAGACTATTCAAAGAACTGTGTACCATGTGAGTGGCTGTCTCCAGTCAATCTGCATTTTTCTCATGATACTAATACATTTCTATGACTGAGTTAGAATGGATAATACCAGCAGAGCTGAAACATAAATGATGGATTAAATATCCTGTCATTGTCACTCAATTTGGTGATAATGAGAAATGTGGATACTGACCCAGAAATAGGTTACTGTAATCCCATTTTGGAATTCCATAGCTGTAATAAGAATGAAGTCAAATCATGTCCAGATCGTACCTTGCAAAGTACAAGAGAGAATCATCAAACTTGTCAGTTGATGTATCGTCAGGCACTTTGTATCATAATGTAATGATAATATCAACTATCCTGACTCTGCATCTTGTATCATTTGCAATGCATCTTATTCAAAGTGGATATTTCCATGTAAAATAAAGACATAACACTATATATTTTTTTTGCCAAGATGAAAATAAATGTGTATTTTGATAGGTAGTAAATCTGATGGTTATGTAGAGATACAGCTGATGTTCGTAAAGTGCAAATGCACTGATTTTTGCCACATAAAGGACTGGGAAAGGGAGCAGTATGAATGCAGCTGCATGGAAGGAAAAACACTGAATTCTGATGGATTCACCTGCTCAGGTGAGCAGTTGGTATTAGGTAAATATCTGTTGTGAAATATCCAATATCTGTTGTGAAATATCCAATATCTTTTGTGAAATATCCCCACCACTGCTTAGGTGAGCAGTTGGTATTAGGTTAATATCTGTTATGAAATATCCCCACCACTTCTAGGGTGAGCAGTTGATATTAGGTAATTATCTGTTGTGAAATATCCACACCACTGCTCAAGGGAAGCAGTTGGTATTGGGTAAATATCTGTTGTGAATTATTCCCACCACTGCTTAGGTGAGCAGTTGGTATTAGGTAAATATCTGTTGTGAATTATTCCCACTAACCCCTCCACCCTAAAAACTGGAATTTGATCCTAATTGTATTGGCTTACAACCTTTATTATTGCACAAAATAAAAACAGCATTTTGGGCTGTCCTTTTATTGATTGATTTGATTGTCTGTCTGTCTGCAGGCAGCATTACTGATTTTATTAAGCTATTGTACTGATTTTGTGGGTACGTTATGATATGCATTTTTAGGTCACCTGAGTCACTCAGGTGACCTATTGCTATCCGTTTTTGTCCGTCGTCGTGTGTTAACATTCGAATATTTTCAGCTTCTTCTCTGAAACCGCTGAACCAATTACAGCCAATTTTAGCATATGGCATCAATGGGTGAATGGGAACAAAATTTGTGAATTTCATGGTCCCTACCCCCCTGGGGCCTGAGGGTCAGGGCTAAAACCATCAAAATTAATGCAATCTTTAAAAATCATCTTTTTTACTCCTGGACATCAAGCAGTCAAACTGTTGGCATGATTGTAATAAGCATTGAGCCCTTTACCAATATTGTGAAATTCATGGCCCCAGGGTCAGAGGTTCTGGCGCTAGGGCATGGCTCTAATGATTATATAGTAAAAATGCATTAATTCTTTGAAAATCTTCTCCTCTGCTCTTGGGTATTAAGCTGATGAATTAAGTACGTAGTTATGATGAGGAAGAGTGCCTCTTCCAAAATTGTGAATTTCATCGCCCCTGGGTCAGGAGTTGGGGGGGGGGGGGGGGGCTTTTTATTATATACTGAAAATAAATAAATGCTTTGAAAATCTTCTCCTCGATCCCTTGGTATTAAGCAAACAAACTAAATACATAGTTCTGATGAGCAAGGGTGCCTCTTCCAAAATTGTGAATTTCTTGGCCCCAGAGTCAGGGGTTCTTGTGCTTGGTCAGGACTCTATAGATTAATTAGCAAAAATGCATTAATGCTTTGAAAATCTTCTCCTCTGCCCCTAAGTACTAAGCAAACAAATTAAATGCAATAATATGAATGTAAATGTATTAAATAAAATTATAAGTAAATGGGCCTTTTCTTCGCTCCTAGGTATCTAGGAGGCAAACGGAGTACACAATTGTAATAAGTGAAGCAATTGAGAGTTGATCATCTTTGCTAGATGTTGTTAATCAAGAAATCGTTGTATATAATTTAATTAACAGGTTATTTGATTGAATGAGAATACAAGAAAGAATGTTATATATATAGAAACAAAATAAAAATGAATGTTTGGTTTAAATGAGCAAAGCATTCTCAAAGTTGGATTCTTGCCTGGAAAGCAATTTAAAAGATTGACATAAAGATTATTTATATATTTAGCAAAAGTTGTAATTGTCCATAGTATGTTTACACTGTGGTGTTCTGTTCAATAGTAGGTGAATTATTGTCACTGGTAGAGTCATGGTTGAGAAGAAACTGGAGGAAGTTGTTTTATACTTAATCAAAGTGAATAAAAATTCACAGAGAGTCAGAGCAACTTATTGTAATTTGTGACAAGTGGCAAATATCCATGTTGTATATCCAAGTCTGTGTGTACTGAATTGTATCACTAGGCAAGTGACAAAAACATATCTGTATATATTGAATACCTTACACAATAGGCAAGTGTTCATTGTATTTGTATATTTTGCATTCATTATCATCCCTGTAAGACTTGGGAAAACCAAGTATGATCCTAAGGAGTTCACTCGGGTCTAACACGTTACAATAAGCAAGGGTATTTTTACCAGATTTTTGAAATTCTTGGCAACATTGCTTCGTCTATCAGTTAATTTTGTTTTATACTTCTATGGATCCTTTACTGTATTGTATTATACTCAGGTGACCGGTAAGGCCCTTGGGCCTCTTGTCTATTGTACTACAGACTCACAGGACATTACACAGCAGATAGTGTAAATCCATTTGTCCCTAGAGAGTAATGAGTGGACATGCTTCCAGTTAAAGATATAATTAATGAGTTTAATGTAGGAAGCTGTTAGAGCATCTCTGATCTAGCAGGTGTTATCTGTATCTCCTGGGAATTGGGCAGAAGAATTAAAGATTTCTCTACTCTAACTCTCTTAATTGCAATTAATTTATAGTCTGTCAAATTAAAATACATAGTTACTGGATGAACAGCCTTTTTATTTTTAAAATGAATTTGGTATAAAGTTATATCAAGATTAATTATTGTATAATATGATAATTTTATTTTTTCAATAATCAAATTGCAGAATGTCATGTCTCACAAAGATGACAGATAGTTGCAATTTATTTTTTTTAATTTGATAAAAAAAAAACAATATTATGATGTTTTATTAGGCTGCACCTCAGTTCATCATTCATTAAAAAAATATAATGAGTGATTAAATTTTCACTTTAAATGTTTAAACAGAAACATCTCTTAGATCCATAAATTTAAATATGTTTAGTGACTTGGCACCTTTTCTGAAAAACCCAGCGGGGGGTACTGTAAACCAACTTTTATTCGCGTGCGAGAAATATTCGCGAGTTTCGCGACCTAATTCAAATCGCGAATATTAATCGCTGCGAATCATTTATTTTGCTTTGTATTTGTAGAGAATGTTTCCTCAGTCGCGAAAATTAATCTTCGCGGATTGTTTTTAAACTGACGAATCGCGAATAAAAGTTGACACGAATAATAGTTGGTTTACAGTATTTGTCCAGTTTGGACAGTTCTAGTTTTTTTAGGTCACCTGAGTCACTCAGGTGACCTATTGCTATCCGTTTTTGTCCGTCGGCGTTCGTCGTTCGTCGTGCTCACAATTAGTAGTTAATAGTAGATAATAGTTAGTTAATAGTAGTTAATAAACAGAATCATAGATTTATTTACATCTTTAATGAAGCTACAGAGCAGGTGACACATGCATTCCTTGGAACACTCTAGTTTTAGAGAAATAGGTAGTGAAATTACTATGCCAGTACCAACTTCAGACATTCTATAGCATTTTTTGAAGTTCATTCTGAATTTTCAATCTTGCATTCAATATGATACTTTACTGGATGAATAAATACTGCAAATCCATCTGAAATATTTTCAGATAGATGTAAAAAAGTAAACTGATGTGATATTATTTGCTATTCTTTGTGATTGACAGCTGTTCTAACAGAGGGTTTTGAGATGAGATATATAGTATACATTGCAGTGGCCAGTACCATATTAGTTATCATTATAACCTGTATTGGATTGTGTGTGGGTAAGTACCTTATCTTTAAATCATTTAGTTAACACACAAATATGACTAATTTAATGAAAAACAGTTGAAATGTTAATAAAACACAAGGAAAATGGTATATCCTATGTCTGTCTGTCCATATACAATTGTGTCAGGTCCAGAAATTTGTAATGGAGAAATATTGGAAGTTCATAATGTGACAAACCAGACAAGGATTTTAACCCGGCACCCCCCCCCCCCTTCTCCGAATCTCTAGTCAGGTGCTCTACTAACTGAGCTATCTGACCATCGGCAATTGAACCTGTCTGACCTCAACATTCCTCCCTCTTTAAAGGTCCAACCCAGGCTCTTTCCTGCCCCCTGGCAGGACTTTCACATGTGACAGTCACATCCTGGTCACAGCACCAAATGTAACTGGCAAGGGAGAGAATTGCAAAGAACCAGACCAGGATTTGAACCCAGTCCCCCTGAATCAGTAGTCAGATACTCTACCTTATACTGAGCTCTCTGGCCCTCATTGATCAAACCTGGCTGACTACCACAATGCATCAAAGCATAACATCGCAATGGCTAATATTCAGTAAACATACATTGATTCAGAAGAAGAATATCATTTACTGATTGAGAATAGCAATATATGTAATGATACATGTGTCAAGTCTCTTAAAAGTGCAAAAGATCTTTAATTTTTAAAAAATTCAATTTTTGCAGTAAAGCAGCATAGAAAACGATTACATTTGGATGCAGTTAGGATTGAACTGCAAACAGCCAGTCAGAACTTTGCCATACATTCATCATCCAACTTCGTAAGAAACGGAACTATACAGTACCATCAGATGATGACGGAGTACAATCCAAACTATGACTTTGTCGCTGCTAAATACCCAGAGCAACAACTGAATGAACTCAATCGCAACAAACTAGAGTTAGTCAGGTATATCAGTATTATGTTTTTGGAATATCCACTTGTGTAGGGATGTTTTTTCTTATAAACCAAGTTATGTAAGAAAAAGGACTGTGAATTCAGTGCTGCATGTTTTTGAGTTTGGCTAAATAGGTAGTTTTTCGTGCTGAAATTGAGAAGGATATGGATGTTGGTGCATGCTTACATTTGCAGCATGGCTAAAATTGTTAAAAAAAATAATAAAATTCTTCAGAAACTGCTTCATAGGTCACAGTTAAAAGATGTGTTTCTTAGTGTGAAATTGAAATAATTATACTCAAGACAGTAAAATTTTAAAATAGTTTGGGCTAATTAGTTTATAGTTGTACCAAGAATCTTGTTCCTTTGGCATATTGCATATGGGCTCAGTTGTTTCCCTTACTTAAATGCATATTATTTAGTGAAAAAATAAATAATACATGTATTAAAATGAATTCGACTGAATTTTTTATACAAGTTGTGCCCAATCAATCGGGACAGCATTTTATCACCTGTGAAATCTTCCAGGTAATTATCCCCTCACGCAACTAGTTGCGGAGGGGATATAGCATCGCTACTGTGCGTATGTGTGTGCATACATGTGATAAGTCAAAGAGCACAAAACTGTACAGGAGCCATAAAAAAACTGGAATTTGGGTGAAAAAACTGTACACTGCCTATCAAAAAACGGTACAAAAAAATGGTATAAAATATCGCTTAAATTCTTCTGAAATTCCATCGTAATCATTGTAATAAACATCGTATATTTTATACCTACGAAGATCTGGGTCAGATTCACGTATATTAAGTCTAAAGTCATGTATATCAACTTTAGAAGTTGGCTTAATTTTTTTCAATCAAGTTACGTATACAAAACATTAACAGTAATTAAGTTACCCCTTAAAAAATAAAGCTACCTAAAGGGATATTTGATACGGATTTATAGCAAGATAATTATCCCAATTGGCAGTTCACACCTTCGCACGCGATGGTTTGTGTACACTACACAATTATCAGAAGGTCAAGTGTCAAACACAGGTGATGTTTTCCAGTGTCTCGCGAGCGAGAATGAGAGGAAAATGGCGGCATTTAGCGAGAAATTCAAAATACTGTACAAATTTTCATATTCCGTGAATCTTGGTGTCCCGCCAGTACACGATGAATGGGCTCAAAAAACTGTACATTTTGCGTACAGCCTGTACATATCACATGTATGGTGTGTGTGTTAGTGTGTTAGTGTGTCCGTTACAGCTTGTGGGCAAGATTTAAAGAGAACCTTTAGACTATCAATTCTCAGCTTCCACATACTTATGTGGCATTGTAAAAGGACGAACCCTATTCATTTTCAAATTAATCGGTGAAATATTTCTCAATATATTGCGGTTTTACTACCTTCAAACCCTGAAATTTTATGTACGATTTGACAATACTTGCTTCCGCTTAATCAACCTTGGAAAATTCGGGTCGCTTCGATAGACTCGCTTCAGTAAGTTCACCCAACTTTGTATTAAATTTTTGCGTATTGTCATATTATTGTGCGTATCTTGAGACAGTCTGTATGAATTAAGTTTCATCTCAGATGGTAATTGAAATAATTTGATGAACGTCGCGGTTTCATTACCAAATTTCCACAGGTGTCAGTTTACAATATGGAATTTATTCGTGAGGCACACGTAATTCCTGAAAGCTATAAAGACATTTTGCAAGTTTAGGTCTATGGTTTCAGTGACCTCTCAACACCGGTATATTGTCATTTTTAATACGAAAAAATATTATCTCCGTGGGTATTCTCAGATTTTATGCATATAGCATGCAACTTTTAGATATACCTAGGAAGGTAAATTACTGAAACTTAGAGCATACATGATATGTTTCTGCTAGGAATAAGGGAAACTGCCCATTTACGTATGCATGTTATGTCCTCCCCCCTCCCCGATGCTATGCACTTCAGTTTAAAAATGACAACCCAACCCCCCAAACCCCCGATGATTTTGTTTAAAAAATAATTAGTGCTGCAACATATTTTATTTTCTTTACCTTATTTTAAACCTAACTAGATGATTGTATCTTCATTAACGTCCCTCTTGAGAATTTTTCTCTCGTATGGAGACATTGCCATTACCAGTGAAGTTCCTGTCGCGAGGGGATGCTCCGCTTAGCGGTGCTCTTGTTGAATATTTTATTACTGGGTTTGGTCTCCCCATCAATTTAACATATGCCAGCTAGGTCAACAAAATGCTCACTTCAAAGTATTAAATAAAAAAAAAAATTCTGAAGATCATTTTTGACAAACAAAAGCCTACTAAACAAACATGCATACCGAAGTTTATTTGTTTAAAAATTAACAATGAATGTCAGTTCAGTATATTCAATGAAATACCTTTATGCAGTAAAACTTAATGTTTACTATGAAAATGGATATAGTGAATTCATACAGCGAAGTAATTTTGCAGGTCCCCAGGGCTATAGGGTTAGCTTTAATTGGGTTTTACTGTCCATGCAAGATGCAGTACTGTTACATATGTATAAGAATCTGGGCCATGTATAACTTAATTGTCATTGAAAAAAGGAACAGAATGTATACAGTTCACCATTAGATTAAAATAAGTAGAGTCAGAGCTCAATTTAAAAAAAAAAAAATTCTCACCCTCTCTCCTGGGTCTGAAACCCCCAAGCAGTAATTCCAAACAAACAGTTTTCAAAAGATGGTCCCACTGAATATTTTCTTCTTCATTCCCTATGCAGCCTTTTTTTCCTACCATTCAAGTGAGAAAAATGGTATCAAAATAGAACAAATTGGGAATTTTCAATCATATTAAACAAAAGTCATGCATTCTTAAATTAATAACTAATCATGTATGTTTTAAAAAAATGAACAACAAGAATTCATTGTTTTTGCATTATTAACATCTCTTGTTCTCATGTTTTTAAAGACATGGGTAATATCAGACACTTGCAATACATATATATGCTGTTGGGCCATCTACTACATGTAGAATATGTCTCACCACATCTAAGCTACTTTTGATGTTAGAGGATGTAAAACAACACTTCATGCTAAGCAAATTAAGATGACATAGTGATCTGTCATCTGACAGTGGAATTGGGAATTTTTAATCTAAGAATTAGGAAAAATCAAGGGGGGGGGGGGGGGGGGGCTTTGGGAATTTTACAGTTTATCAGTACCAGATATACAAAAGAAAAAAAAACACTGCTTTGAAAACCAAATTACACTTGGCAACACAGAGCTTAATATCTTTGGCATGCAGGTCCAGTAAAAGGACACTGTCTCCATTACAAATTGACTTTTTCCCCAAAATAAAGGTAAAAATTCCCAAATGTTAAGTATTTTGAATTTTTCAGTGCTTTTTTTAACAATCTTGAATTTTGAGATGTGCATAGAGGATAACCCTACAATCTAATGGTCTTTATTGAAAAGGTAGCTGTACAGGACCTTGTACAAAAAAGGTTCAGTTAATCCCTGACAGCTAGCATTGACTGCTAAACTAGTTTAATCCATTTTTTTTTTCTAAAAAAAACATCTGTTAACTCCAAATATGGAAAAAGTGTTAAAGGTAAACTGTTTCATGGCTCATCTGTCAGTTTAACAAATGAATTGATATTACAATATTTTACATTCTTTTGTCCACTTCATATGAATAAAGAGGTATAAATATGAACAATGAAATATCTTTCTTTTCTGTGTTGCACTGGGAGTAAGGGTTGCATCAATATTTTCATCAGTATTCCAGAATGTATAATTTAGTTCTTGTCCTCATTTTTAATTCAGGGCATTGGGTCAAGGGGCATTTGGTGAAGTGTACAAGGGATACATTTTGGGTTTTCCAAATATGGAAAGGGAGATGCCAGTTGCTGTTAAGGTATGAAGTTTGAAAGGGTCATTACCATTTATTATCATGTCACTGCAGATGTTTTCTTTAGACTTATTATAATCTGGTAATTCTTTTATAAAAGTTAGTTTGTAAAGAAAATGAAGTCAGGGATTTTCCACTGCCCTATGTGCAGCCGAAATGTAGGGCCAAATTTCGGCCCCATTCCTAATTGCAAAACCCCTTTTTCCCAAAAAATGAATTGTGTGTTATGGTCAGAGCTGAAAATCAATGGAATGACAAAAGTTAAGGGAAACCTTGTTCTGTTGATGACTGACAACATGCTTACATGTTTATTTATCTTTTTTTCCAACTGAAAGTTCTGATTGATTAAATAAAAGCCCAAATTTATTCATCATCAATGTTTATTTCTTGAAAAATGACCCTTTTTTTGTTTTGTTTTGAACATTTTTTATTGTATAGTTAATACAAAAGGAATTGGTAACAAGTTCTTACAACTTAGAAAAACCTTACCCTGACTTAGAAAAACCTTCCCCTGAAAAATGGGCCATTTATAAATTACCCTTGGGGGTAGGACAGGGCCACAACAGGGAGTCAAAGCTTACCATAGGAATATATAGGATATATCTTTAAAAATCTTCTTCTCAAGAACAGCTAAGCCGTTGTTAGTCATATTAATACAGAAGCATTCTCAGGTAGTGTAGATTCAAGTTTGTTCAAATCATGACCCTGGTGGGTAGGGCAGGATCAAAACAGTGGGTCAAAGTCTAACTTAGGAATATATTCTAGGTGTAATGGTTAAGGAGCTTTTGAGTAAAACGCACTGAAGGAATAACCTGACAACCCTTGGAATGGACTAGCCAAACCAAAGGGTATATAAGGAAAAACTTTGGGAAAGTCAGGCAATTAGAAGCTAGATGTTGAGTCAACTGTAAAGAAGTTAATTAAGGGTAAGAGCAAAATAAAAGTAATTAACAATAGTGGCAAGTATCCTAAGGAATTGATGTTAAACTGTGGGTGTAATAAATCTGTAGAAGATTGAGACACGTGCATGTTCTTATCTTAGGGGAGAGACAGGGTTAGATAGGTAATATCTTCAAAATCTTCTTCTCAAGAACAACTAAACCATTATTAGTCATATTTATACAGAAGCAGCCTTAGGTATTGTAAAATCAAGTTTGTTCAAATTATGACTCCCAGGGGTTGGGGGCACAACAGAGAGACAAAGTTTTGCACAAGATTTTATAGGAATCATCTTGAAGAAATCGTCTGCTCAAGAACAGCAAAGCCATGATTAGTCATATTAATACAGAAGCATCGTTAGGTAGTGTAGATTCAAATTTGTTTAAATTTAGGGTGGGGCCACGATGGGAGATCAGAGCTTTACATAGGAAAACAGGATAAACAAGATGTGTTTGTGAAACACTGATGCCCCTCTATGGCAGCTTATGGCAAAGGTTAAAGTTTCTCAAATGCAAGTCAAAATCCAGGGAAAAGATCAAAAATGTGGTACCCAAAGAAAGGTTTTGTCTTGAGGAATATACCTGTGAAATTTGAAAGACCTAGCTGCAACTGTTCAAAAGTTATGGCGAAGGTTAAAGTTTTTTAAAAGTCAAGGTCAAGGTCTCAAAGTGGTTGGTATCCAAAGGAGGGTCTTGTCACAAGGATTACATATGTGAAGTATGAAAGCCCTAGCTCCAACCATTCAAAAGTTATGGCCAAGGTTAAAGTTTTTCAAAAGTAGGTGAAACTCCAAGGTCAAAAGGTCAAAGTTGTTGGTATCCAAAGGAAGGCCTTGTCACAAAGAATACACATGTGAAGTTTGAAACCCCAAGCACCAACTGTTCAGAAGTTATGGCCAAGGTTGAAGTCTCATAAAATTTTGCAAAAGTGGGTCAAACTCCAAGGTCAAGGTCAAATATGATGGTACCCAAAGAAAGGTCTTGTCACAAGGAATATGCATGTGAAATATGAAAGTCATAGCTCCATTCAATCAGAAGTTATGGGCAAGGTTAAAGTTGACAACAGACAAACAGACAGGCAGGACAAAAACAATATTCCGCTGGGATCTTTCGATCCAGGGGCATAAAAATCATAAAATTCTTCTGTTTAAGAACAACAAAACCATGATTAGTAATATTGATATAGAAGCATCCTGAGGTAGTGTAAATTAAAACCCCCCTTTAAAAACTGAACTGATTTCTGCTTTTTTCCTAGCCAAATTGCTCAGATGAGCGATGTGGCCTGCGGGCCTCTTGTTATCTTATGCAGACATTAATTCCTTTTAAATATCTAAAGACAATGAAATAACACAGCATGAAATACACAAGTATGTGTTCAAAAAGCTGTCCAAAAGCCAACAATATGTGATCTGAGAGAACAAGATACCCCTCAGTAATTATTTCTTTTTATTAAAAAACATAAATACTACTGACACCTAAGCATCATGAATCATGGTGATGACTAGCCAGGAAAACTTAAGTATAACTGTTATAAAAACAATTCATTATCTAGAAATCTAGTATAAATGTTTCTCAATATTTTTTTAGAAAACTGTAAAAATACAGAGTCAAAATATTATTACAAAATAAGGAGTAGATGGGGAAAATTTTATTATTTAGATGGATAAAACAAGAGAATCACTATAAAAATGGCTGACATCTCAGTAGAATACATGCTAAATAGAAAAGTATTTTATAAAATTGCTGTCTGAGCCATTTGATGCATGTTAAGTTACGGTCAGGCATACTGATCTCATTGTATTTTTAGCTGGCCTGCACTCTTAGTAAAAAATCTGAAAGTCTTTACATCTGGATTAATTCATGAGGTATATTTTTCATTTGGCTATGTCAAATAACATGATAAAAGAAAACTTAAGCTTGTATGTATATGCTTAAATGTCCATCATTGGCTAAGATTATGCACTTTTTATAACCCTTTTGTGTTTTGTTCTTTTCAAGTTCAACTGATTCAGAAATTGTTGAAAGAAAATTGCAGAACACCCTCACTTTCTTATATTTTACAGACTCTACCAGCATACAGCACAGAAGCATCAGAACTGGATTTCCTTATGGAGGCAGTCATAATGAGGTAAACATATTCAGTATGAAGTAATTTGTTTATTTCATTTTCTGATATACTTATATTATTTTGTGTGTTATCCTTATACTTTTCAATTTTTAAGCTTCTCCAGAACCAGGGGGTCAGTTTTCAGCTCACCTGAGCTGAAAGCTCAAGTGAGCTTTTCTGATCACCCGTTGTCCGTCATCCGTCTGTAAACTTTTCACATTTTCAACTTCCTCTCAAGAACCACTGGGCCAATTTTAACCAAACTTGGTACAAAGCATCCTTGGATGAAGGGGAGTTTAAATTGTTAAAACGAAGGGCCAAGTCCCCTGCAAAGGGGAGGTAATCAAGAAAACAAAAATTGGGTGGGGTCATTAAAAAATCTTCTCTTCAAGAACCACTGAGCCAGAAAAGCTGAAACTTATGTGGAAGCATCCTGGGATAGTGTGAATTTTAAATTGTTCAAATCATGACCCCCAGAGGGAGGGCGGGGCCACAATAGAGAATCCAAGTTTTACATTGAAATATGTAGTAAAAATCTTCTTCTCAAGAACCACTGGGCCAGAAAGGCTGAAACTTAGGTGGAAGCATCCTGGGGTAATGTAGATTCTAAATTGTTCAAATCATGACCCCTGGGGGTAGGGCGTGGCCACAATAGGGAATCCAAGTTTTACATTGAAATATGTCATAAAAATCTTTAAAAATCTTCTTCTCAAGAACCACTGGGCCAGAAAGGCTGAAACTTAGGTGGAAGCATCCTGGGGTAGTGTAGATTCTAAATTGTTCAAAATCATGACCCCCGGGGGTAGGGTGGGGCCACAATAAGTACTAAAGTAGGGGGGTATCAGGTGAAAAACAGCAAGGCCAAAGTTACTCAGGTGAGCGTTGTGGCCCATGGGCCTCTTGTTTAGGTTACCTGAGTCACTCAGGTGACCTTTTGCAATCTGTTCCTATGGTCATCAGGCTTTTGTTAACATTTGAGCATTTGCAGAGCTGTTTACCATTACGGAAATTCCATATTTATCCTGGATTTTTCTTTTGAATTCTGATTAAGGTTTGGACTCTGAAAATTACGCTTTCTGGATTACTGTGGAATCTTTTTTTATTTGTGGGGGTCTGACCAAATTTGAACTTGACCTGTATTTTTTGGTAAAATACCTGAATATGCAATTTCAACCTTATACATACATCCCTACAAAAATTAGAAAGTGGAAACTGAAAATTTCTTATTTTTTCTAAATTCATGTATTGTCTTATTTTTTCTAAATTCATGTATTGTCAACAATATATTATGGATAGAAAGCTCAAATTACAGACAGAAACCATTGAAAATTACTGAAAACTGCAGAAAAGGGTAAACACCTTTACATTTGCTGTTTCTTCTCTGGAACCATTAAATCAGTTTCAACCAGTTTTGGTGTATATAGCATCTACAGGCAAAAGGAAGGAGGGATATGGATTTCATGGTCTCTGCCACCTTTGAGGTCTGATGGGTGGTTGAAAACCATCAAAATTTATGCATACTTTAAAAATCTTAACTCTTGGACCTACTTTTGGAATTTCATAGTTGTATTATCTTAATATTTATGATTCTAAGAGGCTTAGAATCATTAACTTGGTTAGCTTTGTCAGCTGACTCGCTTGGGTCAACAGAGTATGTCAAACAAAAAGTAGGTCACGGTAACCTGCTTCTGGATTTTCATGGCTATATGTAAATATTTAAGATAATAAGAGGCTAAGAATAATTAAACAATCTTTTAAGCTCTCTTGGTCAGAGACTAGAAGAGCTTATGCAATAGTAAGGTGTCTGTCATCAGTCTGTCTAGATGTCTGTAAACATTTTTCCAAATGCTATTCATCCTACATTTGGTCCAGTTTCAATATAATTTGGTACACAAGTAGACTACACTAAGATACGTAATTCTATCTATCAGTTTTTGGTTTCGATGAGTGATGTTGCCAGGGTTACTATAAATAAAAAATTATATGAAATTCTTTCAAAATGCTACTCCTCCTACAGTTTAAGTCCGATTTCAATATAACTTGGTGCACAAGTAGACTACTGTAAGCTACTTAATTCTGCTTGTTGGTTTTTGATTCTGTATCATTATTATTTGCAGTAAATTTAACCACCCCAATATAGTAAAGCTTGTTGGTGTCTGCTTTGAGAACCACCCCCGCTACATTGTGCTTGAACTTCTAGAGGGAGGTGACTTGAAAACATTCCTCAGGGAAATGAGACCTAAACCTGTATGTTATCTAAATGTCATGAAGTTTTTAAAACACCATCTTGAATATGAAGATAAAATTGATAATGTTTGTGCATTATTTAGGACCTTGGGGAGTCTCCTATTAGAGTTCCTGATCTGCTTAATCTTGCCCATGATATTGCGAAGGGCTGCCAACACCTAGAGGCACGACATTTTATACACAGGTAAATATTATTTCTTAACCAAGTAATGTACATCGGCTCTGCCTTCAAGGAGCTCACATATTCTCTGCAAAAATATACTGATAACTGTGTAAAATAACCCTATTTATGGCATCGAGCGGAGCTGGAAAGCCATACTAGGGAGTATCCCATCTGAATCGTCAATGGGAATTTACGCAGCCAAAGGTGTCGGTCGATGCAATTGGAAAACATTCCCATCAAGTAGTAAATGATCTTAACAGGAATTCTAGAAGACAAAAAACCTTGAAATTTAAACTTTGAACCCTGTATACTATTACGATTTTACAACCAAGTTTATCATAATAATTGAAGAAATTGACCTCAGACTCTATTACTATATTTCTTCATATTTCTTCATTTCTTCCATTTCTTAGCCGTATAATATACCCAATAGTAACTCTTAGTCATAGCTAAGAAGCATCACTAAAAACAATGCTTCTACATTGACAATTAGAATAATAGTAAATCCTTCCTAGTTTTTCAACTGACTGAAACTTTTGACATTGCCTAGTTAATTTGAACCCTGTTGTATTCGGACAGTGGCATTAGGCGCCAAAACTATAATTACAATATTTTGTTTCAATTTTATACAAAAGTACTTCTGAAATTGTTTTTCAGGTTTGATGCCATTGAATCTACTCAGGCTTTTGATATATATTACAGCCCTTGATATGATATATATTATAGTCCTTGATATATAATGCCTGGTTACGGACTGCACAGTTTCTTTAAAATCTTGTGACTTTTTTTGCACTCTGTCACATAAATACCAACTACAGCTATATGATTAGATCTCACAAGCATTGATTTGTAAAAGCCAATGCTGTAAAAATGAATCATTGTTAAATCAAAAGGTTGTAAATAGAGAAAATGATGTATGAAATAGATATGATGAAAACATTGGAGATGACTGTCAAGTGCATGAAAGAATCCATTTCTGTGCCTCATTAGGTCTAAATTATTGGTTCTCATAAATCTGATGGAAAACTGAGATGTTATTTGTATGATCTTTATTTCATAATTAGCTGCCACAGAACGATTTTTTTCTTTTCTTTTTTTAGGTCACCTGAGTCACTCAGGTGACCTATTGCTTTCCCTTTTTGTCTGTCGTCGTGCGGTAACTTTTGAACATTTTCAACTTCTTCTCTAGAACCGCTCAACCAATTTCAACCAATTTTGGCATATAGCATCTTTGGGTGAAGGGGAACAAAAATTGTGAATTTCATGGTCCCTGCCCCCCTGGGGCCCGAGGGGTGGGGCTAAAACCACCAAAATTGATGCAATCTTTAAAAATCTTCTTCTCTACTCCTGTACATCAAGCAGTCAAACTGTTTAAATGATTGTAATAAGCATTGGGCCCTCTACCGAAATTGTGAAATTCATGGCCCCAGGGTCAAGGGTTCTGGTGCTAGGGTGGGTTATATAGATCATATAGGGAAAGTGCATTATTTCTTTGAAAATCTTCTTCTCTTCTCCTGGGTATTATTTAAACAAACTAAGTGCATGGTTATGACAAGCAATGATGCCTTTTCCAAAGTTGTGAAATTCATGGCCCCAGGGTCGGGGGTTCTGGTGTAAGGGCGGGGCTCTATTGATTACATAGTGAAAATGCATTGATTCTTTGAAAATCTTCTTCTCTGCTCCTGGGTATTATTTAAACAAACTAAGTGCATGATAATAGTGCACAAGGATGATTTTTCCAAAATTGTGAAATTCATGGCCCAAGGGTTAGGGGTTCTGGTGGTAGGGCAGGGCTCTATTGATTATATAGTGAAAATGCATTAATTCTTTGAAAATCTTCTTCTCTGCTCCTGGATATTATATAAACAAACTAAGTGTATAGTAATGGTGCACAAGGATACTTTTTCCAAAATTGTGAAATTCATGGTCCCAGGGTCAGGGATTCTGGTGCTAGGGCGGGGCTATATAGATCGTATAGTGAAAGTGCACTATTTCTTTGAAAAATCTTCTTCTCTACTCCTGGGTATTATTGAAACAAATTGAATACATAGTTATGATAAGCAAGGGAGACTCTACCAAAATTGTGAAATTCATGGCCCCAGGGTCGGGCCTTCTGGTGTTAGGGCGGGGCTATATAGATCATATAGTGAAAGTGCATTATTTCTTTGAAAAATCTTCTTCTCTACTCCTGGGTATTATTGAAACAAATTGAATACATAGTTATGATAAGCAAGGGTGACTCTACCAAAATTGTGAAATTCATGGCCCCAGGGTCAGGGGTTCTGGTGCTAGGGAGGGACTATATAGATCACATATTGAAAGTGCATTATTTCTTTGAAAATCTTCTTCTCTACTCCTGGGTATTATTGAAACAAATTGAATACATAGTTATGATAAGCAAGGGTTACTCTACCAAAATTGTGAAAGTCATGGCCCCAAGGTCAGGGATTCTGGTGCTAGGGGGGGGGGGGGGGGCTCTATTGATAATATAGTGAATCTGTAGTAAAAATGCATTATTTTTTTTGGAAAATCTTCTCTGCACCTGGTCGTATCAGAGGCAAAAAGAGTAAAAGTTTTAATAAAGATTTTTGAACATCTGGACCATTTGGTCAAGTGTTTTGGTCCTGGCCAGGGCTCTATTAATTTGTATTCAACTGAGAGGAGTTATTCCCCTTTGCCATTTACTTTTGATAATTAATCACTGTAAATAATGTACTTGAAAGGTTAATAGAATAGGAGAATTATGCAAGATTTTTTATTGTATAATACATAAAGTACTTTTATAGTTTAAATGATTAGGTAGACTTGTAAGTAATAGACAAATAAAAAATGAGACAAAAATAACTTGTCTAATTCAATGTTCATCAAAGACCAAAAGAGTCAAATGTAAGAGATATCATCAAGGAATTAAAATAGTACAGAATCACTGATAATTTGTTAATATACTGTATGGTGATAGTGATAAATTGGGAACAGATTAGAACCTAATTTATGAACTGTTAATGAAAACTAGACTAATTATTTTGTTGATCCTGATCACCCTATTTTTCTTGCTTTTGGGCAACAAAGCTTCACCTTTCAGTTCATTTTATACTCTATGGATCCTCTAAATTGTTGTATTATACTCAGGTGACCATTAAGGCCCTTGGGCCTCTTGTTTTTCATAGTAGTTAATTTGATGAGATGTTCTACAACAGATGTTTTAGTTCAGCTGAACTATTGGCACTAGTGAGCACATAGATCAAAGTTTGAACATATTAACAATATTTTATTAAATTTGTTGAAATCAGGAATTAAAGTTAATGGCAATAACAAAAGGGTTTTCCTACCATTTCAGCTTTTCTTAGCCAAAGGCTCAAAGAGCTAATGCTATGGCCATTTGTGTGGTGTGCATAAACTTTTTAGAATATGGGCCATAACCCCTCGGCCAATTATTGTCAAATTTGTTACAGGGTATCCTTGGCCCAAGGGCTCCCATTTATACAAAAACCAGGGTTGTGACCCTTAAACAAGGGGAGATAATTAGGTAAATAAAACCAAAAGTACTGGTTGCTAAAAAATCTTCTCAAGAACCACTGGGCAGATTATCACCTTACACAAAAGGATGAGAATATGTTGTAGATTAAAAATTGTTGAAAGCATCACCCTGGAGCAAAGGGCGTGGTCTCAAAGTCACTTCAAAGTTGACTAAAAATTGCATTTTATTAAAATGTTGATATTTTGCTTACTTTATGGACTAGGATCATCAAATCTTTTCAGTTGATGCATCTAAGGATCTCATATCATGTTGACTCAGAAGTAGGTCACGGTGACCTACTTTTCAAATTTTGCAGCCATTCTTTTTCAAAATGATTTAGAGGCATATTTTGAACAATTTAAAGCCTATGATCATCAAACTTTGTCAGTTGATGTATCTTGGGTCCTCGAAGTACGTCAACTAAAAAGTAAGTCACCTTGACCTACTTTTTGAATTTTATGGCTAATCTTTTTCAAAACAATTAAGGTCATTAATTCGAATACTGAGAGGTTTAAAATCATTAATTCTTGTAAGATGATGCATCTTGGGGCCATAAAACATATTTATTAAAAAGTAGGTCACAGTGATCTACTTTTTGAACTTTGTAGGCATTCCATTTCAAAGCGTTTTAGAGGCATAATTTGGACATTTTAAGGTCTATGCTCATAAAACTTTGTAAGTTGATGCATCTTGGGTCTTAAAAGTATGTCATCTGAAAAGTAGGTCACTGTGACCTACTTTTAATATTTAATGGTTGTAATTAAATATTTTAGGTATTAATTGGCTTAGAATCATATAACTTACCGTATATACTCGCCTATAAGTCGGTCCGCCTATAAGTGGTTGTATTTTTGAAGCTTATATTAGAGGGATTGGCCTTCTATAATACCTTTCTTTTTATAACTCGCCTATAAGTCGGACATACAGTTTTGGACCAAAGCTTAACTCCCAAAAATCCGACTTATAGGCAAGTATATACGGTAGTTAGTTGATGCATCTTGGGTCCTCAGAGAATGACAAGTGATAAGTAGATCACCATGACCTACTCTCAGGTACTAATTGGCTTAGAATCATCTTGGATTCTCAGAGTGTTTCATCTAAAATGTAGGTCATGATGACCTACGTTTGGAATTTCAAGGCTTTATTTAAATATACAGGATACTTAAAGGCTTCAAATAGAAGTGATAGGTTGTTCAGTTTATCAGAAGAGCGATACAAGGCCCTTGGGCCTTTTTTTTAAATCGGGTCCAAGATTCATAGAATTGGGAAAATTGACAATTAAAATGTTCAAATTGTGAAAATTTAAAAAAAAAAGGACTTGTTTTATCTCCATATTTCATGAATAAAAGAAAATGAAAAGTGTCTCCACTTTACCAAAAACAGTAGTTTCTTTCCAATCAAAGGCCCACACAGAGGCATTAAAGAAATACAAATGTAGACAAAGATTTAAAATAAAATTTCGGAAAAGTGTTTTTATACATATAGACCAAGTTCTGCTTTGAAAAGTTACCTTAAGTGATTAGATTGTTAATTTCCAAGTTGAGTGAAACATCAATAATTTCACATGTAATAAAACAAAGATATTTTTTAAAGCAAAGTTTTATGTTATTTTCTTTGTTTTATTTAGAGGATTGATTCTTTTCTAATTGTATTAAGGACAATCTTTGAGAAATGTATTTCATTTTCCACTATATTCAAAATTTATTTTTCACATAAGGAATTTTTCATTTTACTGTACATCAAGGGATTTCGAACTGCTTTCTCCTTGCATAGAAACTGCTTCTCGAATAGTACTGAATAGTTCATTACGGGCACTAAGTGTTTCTGTAATAAATGAAATACAGTAAAACATGCTTATAGCAAACACATTTATAATGAATTGACACTTATAGTGAAGTGAATTTTTTCATTCCCTGTGACTTTAAAATATATGTTGTAAACTAAACATATATAACGAATTATTCTTACAATGAAGCAAAACCGTCCATCCCTGGCACTTCCTTATAAGCGTGTTTTTCTGCATTCTTTTGCAGGAAAACAAATATCTTTGTGGCTACATAAATTTAATTCTCTGGCTCTCAAGCCAATTTTCTCCAAAGTAGGTGAGGGAAGGAGAAATTTTTTTTTTTTTATCTTATTGGTGATAAAGTAGATGAAGGGGGTATTTCACAATATGTAAGTTTGTTTTGATATGATTTTGAATTCAGTGTCTTGTAAATTGTAATGCTTTTAATGTCAGATCAATAGATTTGCTTTCTATCCATTGCTTATCAATGTGTGAACATGGTAGGCATTGATTAACTTAGAATTTTTTTTTTCAACAATCTTTAAAAATGGCTATGGAAAGCCAAATTCAAGCACAAAACTATGAAAAAAATGAGGTCGGAATTTTTTTCCAGATTGGTCTCTGCATTGCCAACTTTTTATTTCATTAAAAATATGATAAAATTTGTAATGTGGCTACCTCAAAACAGATACCTGCAGGCCTGAGAACCATAATTTCAATTTTATGTGGCCTTAACTCTTTTTGCACACTTTTAAATTTTATTGACTGATTTGGGAAAAAATTATATAAAATTTGGAAAATTAGTTGAATTTTGGATTGGGACCAGATCCAAAATCAAGCTAGCTAGGCAAACCTTTGAACAAGGAGATTTATATTTTTATTTGTCAGAAATAGATAGGTGGGCATTATGGCTTACAGGCCTCTTATTTTCTTTTCTCAGAGACATTGCTGCCAGGAATTGCTTACTGACCTGCAAGGGTAAAGAGAGAGTGGCCAAAATAGCTGATTTTGGAATGGCAAGGGACATTTATCGGTATGTGGTATCCCAAAAAAAAAACTTTGGTAAAAATTAAAGTAGGAGTACAGTTTTCTATTAAAGTTTTCTACATCTGTATGCTTGGTGTACAAATTTTGCAGATCAAGGCAGACCTATATAAGCTCATTTATGATACATGAACAATATATTTGATATTGTTTCAAATAGTTTTTGATAAAATTCTTGTGTTCTTTTACAATTTTTATCGAAAGAGTGTCTCCCAAAATCCTTTAAGAGATTGATTTTGGCATGATTGTCATTCTGTCCATCTCTGACAAAATTATTTCAATAACTACTAAATTGATTGGGTTTAATGTTTGGTGTTGCACATGATTTTAAAGTTTGTGGTGATCTAAATTGAAAGTTTGATATAGACTACTAGGCAATGAATTATTGAAATAGTATCTATTCAGTAACTCTGGAACCATGTTCAGCCCATAACTTGAAATCTTTAATTTTTGCATATGCATAATCTAAGCATGTGGGTTTTTTTTTATTCTGATGTCTAAGAGGTTTTTGTGAACTAGAGTCAGTGGCCTTGCATGGTCAAAAAGAAAGCAAAACCATGTTCTGGTTATAACTTCGAAATCTTTGATTGGAATATAAAGTCAAACAGTTATCTCAAACTTGATGGGACCAAAAGAAAAAAATCTGAGATATCCAAGGGTTTGAGATATTGAGGGTAAAATATTTAAAGAAAAAGAGCTTGGGACTTCCTTTGACATATCCATGGTGTTCAGGATACCAAAGTTCAGCTGTATTTGATCTTGAGTATATTGTTGCTGAAGAACTAAGCAGTTGGCTTGATCTAGTCTCAAGGTAATATCCTGAAGGTCATGGTCACTGGTAAGGAAATAAAAGTCATACCTGTGTCATAACTTTGAAACTTGTATTTGGAATGAGATAAAAATTAGATAAGTTGTTCATAGTAGCACCATAACCTTTACTCAATCCATTTTTGTCAAAACGGGATCTAGTAAATTTTTTTCTAAATGCAAATTTAAAAATACTTGATATAAAACTACAGAATTAGTCATGCATATCTTTATTGTATCCTTCTCATTATTTGGGAAGAATAGATAGGGGTTGATATTTTTCTCTCTGGGAGGATTGGAAAAAGCCCCTATCTTTCTGTCAATATGTCATTCCTAGAGTATTGAATTATTTTTAAAAAATTCTACACATGTTGGATACATGTTTCTGCACAATGTACTTGCCATGGTAACTGAAATATTATTTTGAAATTCTTTCAAAACTATTTCTCTTACCGGTGCTACATTTTTGGGTCTGATTTTAGTAAATTATCAAACCACAGGTTTGCAAGAAGGTATTCCCTGTTGGATTACCAATGTTTACCTTTATGCTTAAACTTGAAAGTGAAGAAAGTCTTCAGTTTATTTTTTTTTTACAAGATCTGACTACTACAGAAAAGGAGGTAAAGCCTTGCTACCAATAAAATGGATGCCTCCAGAAGCTTTCCTGGATGGAATCTTTACTTCAAAAACAGATGTTTGGTGAGTTTAAAAAAAATTTTAAGCCTTTTAATCATTGTACTGATTGCAGTCATTAATTGAATTTAATTAACGCCATGGTAAGGAGAGGAAAAATAAATTATTTGCTTTAGATTATGTAGAATGAATGAATGGATGTGTCAGAAATTCAGCACTTTTACTTGTGTATCAAGGGGGATACTGGGGTTGAATTAATTTTAAGAACAGGAGAGTTGCAGCTGGTCATATTACTTTTAATATGCCAGCATCCTCTTGTAGGGTATATTGAAAATTGCTCAAATCAAAACTCTCAGGGCCATGCTCTAACAAAAAAGGTTGGAGTCGGTCAATTAAAGTTTGGTATACATGTAGGAATATGATAGCAGAGATCTTTAAAGTTGCATGGTCTAATTGAGATGCATGTTTTCATACTATAAATGTGTATGTATACAAAGAAAATGTATAAAAACAGATTATGTGACTTTTTTTTGGTTAACAACAATATTTTAAAGAAAATTCTTGGTTAAAAGGCATGTTGATAAAACAAAACTTGCTGACAAGGTATATAGATGGATGAGACCAGGTGACTTCCAAAAGCTAACTGTAGGTGATTAGGTGCTGTGACCCCATGGCAATTAATTTTTAAAATTTAATATATTAATATCTTTTAAAAGAAACTGACTTTGAGTGAGGATATAATTTTGAAGAAAGTGGAAACTTTTTATGAAGAATTATTTTTCACGAGAAAACAAGAAATCAACTTTAAAAATCTCAACAAGAATAGAAGGGGTACATTTAGTCTTAAGGACATATGCAACGTAGTTTGAACTTTATTGTCTTTTCCCCTGGAGTTGAAGAGTCCCAATACTTAAATGAACTATGTGCTATATTTTAATGTCTATGTATGCTGCTGTACACTTCTTCTAAAACAAGGTTGGATAAACAAAACATCTAGAATATATGTTCAGTAATTTTTGTATATTTTTCTTTGAATTTTACAAGAATTTTCATCAATTGATATCTTTTCAAAACCCCTGGTAATGCATGCTGATTTTTTGTCTACGAAAATCTGATGGCACTATAATCTTAAATTAAGAATATCTTGAAAAATTATCAGTAGGGTAAGGTACATTGCGTATGTCCTTAACAAGGTTCGCTCCTGAGCTTTTGAGAAGATTTTTTGTCTTAACCTATATTTAAAAAATTCTGCATAATGTTTTAGTTCTTACAATAAATTTGGATTCTACAATACCAATTAAATGATATTCAGTTAAAACTCCATGATTAAATTCTATACCAAAAGCATTAAGTGAGGAACTATATCTTGTGGCGGATGGATTTTTAGGTCACCTGAGTCACTCAGGTGACCTATTGCTATCCGTTTTTGTCCGTCATCGTGCGACGTGCGTTAACATTTAAACATTTTCAGCTTCTTCTCTGAAACTGCTCAACCAATTTCAACCAATTTTGGCATATAGCATCTATGGGTGAAGGGGGGCAAAAATTGTAAATTTCATGGTCCCTGCCCCCCAGGGGCCTGAGGGGTGGGGCTAAAACCACCAAAATTAATGCAATCTTTAAAAATCTTCTTCTTTACTCCTGGACATCAAGCAGTCAAACTGTTGACATGATTGTAATGAGCATTGAACCCTCTACCAAAATTGTGAAATTCATGGCCCCAGGGTCAAGGGTTCTGGTGAAAAAGGAGGGGGAGGGGCTCTATTGATTATATAGTGAAAAAGCAAAATTTCTCTGAAAATATTCTTTTCTGCTTCTGGTTAAAAAGCAAGGAAGTTAAGTGTATAGTTATGATGAGCAAGAGTGCTTCTTCCAGAGTAGTGAGTGGCATGACCCCTGGGTCAGATGTGCTGGTGTAAGGGTGGGGCTCTTGATAATATAGTGAAAATGCATTAATTCTATTAAATAATCCTGTCTGCTCCTTAGTGTTAAGCAGATAAAAAAAGTGATTACTTATGATGAGCAAACTTCTGGTCCCAGGGTGAGAGGCTCTGGTGTTTCTCGATGGGGGGGGGGGGGGGGGCTCTATTGATAATATAGTGAATCTGTAGTAAAAATGCATTATTTCTTTAAAAATATTCTCTGCACCTGGGCATATCAGAAGCAAAAAGAGTAAAAGTTTTAATAAGGAAGGGTTTTTTACCAGATTTTTGAACATCTGGACCATTTGGTCAAGTGTTCTGGTCCTGGCTAGGGCTCTATTAATTTGTAATCTACTGAGAGGAGTTATTCCCCTTTGCCGTTTACTTTTGATAATTAATCACTGTAAATAATGTACTTGAAAGGTTATAGAATAAGAGAATTATGCAAGAATTTTTATTGTATAATACAAAAAGTACTTTCATAGTTTTAATGATCAGGTAGACTTGTAAGTAATAGATAAATAAAAATGAGACAAAAATAACTTGTCTTATTAAATGTTCATCAAAGACCAAGAAAGGCCAATGTAAGAGATTTCAACAATGAATTAAGATAGTAAAGAAGCACTGATAGTTTGTTAATTTACTGTATGGTGATAGTGTTAAATGGGGAACAGATTAGAACCTAATTTATGAACTGTTAATGAATGCTAGACTAATTACTTTTTTGATCCTGATCACTCCATTTTTCTTGCTTTTGGGCAACAAAGCATCACCTTTCGGTTCATTTTATACTCTATGGATTTTCTAAATTGTTGTATTATACTCAGGTGACCGTTAAGGCCCTTGGGCCTCTTGTTTAGAAGAAAATGATCATTTTTTTCTCTTATTTAAAATACTAGATGAAATCCCGCGCAAGCGCGGGGATTTGAATTTATATCACTACCGACAGAAAATATATTGTAGTTCTCTACTGACAGCCTACAGGCTTATAGCAGGAACAAATACTTTGTTCAAAATCCCGCATGAAGTAGATTTACCAATCCCTCCCCCCCCTCCCCCGTTTTTGTTTTGTTGTTTTTTTTATTTATTTATTTTTAAACTTGAAAAGTGGCAATTTCATTAATTGACATTTATTATGAAACCTGACATACTATGTTATGGATATTGTACTTCAGATGCTCTTATTTCATTCCCGTCAAGGATAAAAGCAACGAATATGCACATTTTACTAATAAATTGATTGGGGGGGGGGGGGGTAAAAATTCACAGGTACTTGGGTTTTGGTTTATAAATATGTTTGTACCTTATTGATATGTATTTACTTTTTTACCTATCAATAAGGTACATACATATTTATAAACCAAGAACCAAGTACATGTACCTGTGTAAAAATTAGCTTTTAACGCCCTATGAATAGGCGGAGTATTTGATATAAAAGACTAACCTGCAATAATGTACCGTAGCCCTCTCCAATATTTTTTTTTTTTTTTTTTTTTTTTTTTTATCTGATATTTCCTGGCCTCTATCTCTCTGCCGCCCCCCCCCCCCTTCCTCAAAAAAAGGAGAGGGCCACATTATTGCAGCTATAAAAGATTGTATTCAGAAATTAACTGCGCATTGATTAAAGTGCAAAATTTTACATCTTTAATTGTATTTGAACAATACCTTATTTATTAATTTTCTCTTTTCATGTAAGCAAGTTTATTACTAAGTACAAATTGTACTTTGGGTTCGTTGCTACGATGCTCTCAGTAAGGAATATATACAAATTTTACCGATAAATTTATTAGGAAAACCTACTACATACATGTATATGAAATAGTCTTTTGATATATAATTATATTCACAACTTATAGTGTTATCAATGATTTACCATTATTTCATTTATGACCATTTACACAAAAGCTTTTTTCATGGTCATGTAGCTATAATCACCTCCTTTTTTTCTTAACATCGGGCTCGATGCTATATGATGTTCTAGGAGCTTCCTTAAATATAAAGATCGGTGAATGACAAAATTATTTTGCACATTTCTCTTTTTAATCAGTTATCACAACTGATTTCTTTTATATCATTTAAATCGAGTTTTGATGAATAATTCAGTGATGACATTTTATGTAATAAATAAACGATTGCTTGTTGTCAGTTTCATTAAAAATTGCCAGTAACTTAGATCCGCCAACCGGAAACGCCACCGTACTCACGTTTTAGCTATTTCATGGCTGTTTATAGAAAATGAAAGTAGACTTCTAATTTAATGTACAATACTTGCTATTCGAGTGAAATCTAAATATAGTTTACGGACATCAGCTTGTATCTAGTGTATAGTTAGAGGAGTAAGTAAGAACTCTGGTGCACCCGTTTCGGAGTTTATTTGCAAAATTTATTAATTTATAAGTATAGATGTTAGGTTTGGATTCCTATTTTTCCATGCAGCCTGCACACAGAGTTATTCTGTGCCATGAACTGTTTCATGCTGGTCCTAAATTATATATTAAATAAACTATCATGAATTTTATCATCATATTTAATAAATATAGCAAATATATTGCGAAAATCCAGAAAAAAAATAGCCCTAACTTTTGCTTAAAATTAGCACTGTTTTAGAAATATCTAAAAATTAACATCACAGACTCCCACTTTTTATTTTCTTTTCTGAATATATATTAAGATATTTTTAACCATTCTACTTAAATTCAGTAAAATGTCATTACTTTCAAATGATTTTATTGCTTGTTAAAATTTTTAATGCCAGAAAAATGATATTTTGAGTGCAAATAGGTCAAATAATTAAACATGCGAAGTAATTTTAAAAAAAAAAAATTGTCACAAATTTTAATGTATCTATTCAAGATGAATTAAGACTGTGTTTGTTCCCATAATTTATTTGAATAAAAAAATATTGGAAGAAAACTTAAAAAATTGAATCATATGTAAGATGTATTTACAGTGCAAAAAGGTCAAACTAAATGCTCTGTAGTGCCAAAAGAAGTGCATTGACCCCCATTTTTTGTTTTGATTTTTAATTAAGCTATGTGTGTAGATTCTAAAAATATACTTGATAAAAAATTCTCATTACTTTTGATGACAGGATCCAACCTCCTTAAAGGACTTATCGCATGATCTTTCAAAAATCGTAATTTTATGAAAAATATTATCTACAACCTTGTTTATTAAAATGCTGAATACGATAAACGTTGCTGAAATCATATTTTAAGAGATATTGAGAGTTGAAATTTAAATACGGCAATATGTGTATTTTAGTCGGATTTCGGCGAAATACTGCTCTGACGTCATAGGCGACAATTCAGTGATAGAGATATGAGAATATGCACACTATTTACAGAGTTATCAATGACAAATGCATCTTAAAAATGCTGAAAAAAAAAAATTCCTAACGTGCTTTTCAATTACTATAAACATTAACTAGTTCTAAGGTATAAGGCTTTTGAGATATTTTCAGTTTTTTTAATTCCAAACATTTTGAGTCTGTAGCTCTGATTATGATAATCTTTTGTGATTGGAAAATTATTTTTCAAGACCGCCATTCTTTACGGAACATATGAAGGCATATATACATGCATAAATTAATATTATGTTAAAAACGAAGAATAACCAAGTTGTATAATATTAAATCTGTGAATCAAACAAGTTAATACATGTGATGAAATGACAGATCAAATTGTATTGTGATGGCAAGTTTCTTCGTCTTCGCTGTGTCTCCCTCGCTATCATCACTGCTATTTTTATAATGTTAACAGATTTTTCATGTTTTTCTTGCGGACAGTTTTAAAATATAGGTTGGATATTCAATTTCATATCAATTAAATCAGTGGTTTGGTCGTCCACAATTCGGAAATTCAGGTTGTATCACGTATACTTTAGTAAGATTAATGTGAAGAGCTGATTAGCCATTGTCACCTTTGAAGTCACGAGGTCACTTGATCGCTATCTAATTAACTCAGATTTCTAATTCAGGTTTTCATTTGAGGCAATAATTGGTTAATTACCGCAGTTTTTCTGCAGTAAAAACACAAAATTTATTAACTGTGGTCATAAGGAACATTTTATGCTTTTAATTTCAGATAATTTGGAAACATGCGATAAGTCCTTTAACGTACATAATTGCCTATAAGTCGGTTGTATTTTTTCAGAGTATTTTGAAAAAGTTTGCCATTGACCCACTTATATTTCAATACAGTTTTTTTTGCAAGAATCTGTGTCCAATTTCAAATTAATATCCTGTTGTATTTACCTGTGTTTTAAGTATATTTTGGGGTATGAAACTGATATTTGATGTACAATTTAAACAAATATAAGATCATATTGTAAACTTATATCTTCCTTTCCTGCATTAGATTAACTTAAACTATTATCATTAGAGTTGTTATAAAATTATTATATTTCCTCTTCCAGAAAAATACCAAATTTTCTTGGACTCACTTATAAGTTGGACATTAAGTTTTGGACCAAAATTTACCTCCCCAAAAATTTAATGTATAGCTGAGTATATATATGGTATTTTAATTCCGTAAAACTTCGGTATATCAAACATGGATATCTTGAATACAATGGATATGTTGAAGTGTCAGATTGGAAAGTCCCAAGCCCTTTTTCTTTAAGTATTTTACCCTCAGTATCTGGAACCACGGATATTTCAATGTTTTTTCTCAGTCCCATCAAGTTCGAGATAACGAGGTTTGACTGTGTATACAAATATCCCCATTCAAGTGAATATTCAATTTAAATTGAATTAAGACCCCTGGGGCTAGGGTGGGGTCTCAATAAGGGGTCAAATTTCTACATAGAGATACATAAATTGTTCAAAACTCTTCAGAAGAACAGCAGGGCCATTAATGTTATATTTATGTTAAAGACAACTATATCCATGCAGCACATATTTTAACTATATGAAGTCATAACCTTGGGGCATGGGTGCAGCCACTAAAAGAAATGAAAGTTTGACATGGGAATGAATAGAAAAAAACTTTTCACATCTCTTTTTCATGTAACGCCAAAGTTATTCAAGTGAACACTGTGGTCCATAGGCCCACTGTCACATAACAGCTGGTTTGGAAGCACTCTTTATCTTAAAACATATTTCATAATGCTTAATTTCAGCATTTATTTTATATTGAAGGTCTTATGGTGTCCTGCTCTGGGAGATCTTCTCCATGGGTTATATGCCTTACCCAGGGAGAACAAATCATGATGTCATGCAGTATGTGACCAATTTTGGCAGGTTGGAACCTCCAGAGAATTGTCCAAAGCTGTTGTAAGTTTTCTAAGGGCTTCAGAATTTGATGCAATCTAGCTACAAGCATTTCATTATAGTTTTCATTCACTGTGTTGAAGAGGTAGAGAAAAGTATCCCAAGTTACTGCATATTTGCTTAGTACTTAAATGCAGGTGAAAATGTTTTTTTTTTTTTTAAAATGTGATGTTAGCTGAAAAAATAATTCAAGCTATTATCAGGTCAGGCCTACACCTTAGTATATCTCTTTTTGTAGGTATGATTTGATGTGTGAATGCTGGACAACTAGTCCCGATTCCAGACCAACATTCTCAGATATTCTTCAGAAACTGAAGAGATTCTCTCAAGTAAGACTGAATTTAAAAGAAACAATTTAATTTGGGGAGAGGGGGGATTGACCAAAAAAGTAATTGATTTTGATCTCGTTTTGGATTAGATTGATGTTTCATTGTTGATTGCTTTCAAACAAAAACACTAAACTTCAGTAGGGATGGGTTTATGTGAGAGATATGTAGCTCTTGTATACATGTATTACATTGTACAGAAAATCTATTGCTATACTCTGACTTTGACATCCACTTCTAAAGTAAGTAATAAAACAACCAAGAAGGGTTCAGCATTTTACTTGAAGTAGATTGAAAAAAAATTGCTTTACATATATTAAAAGAAAGATAACTCTTTCAAACATTTAACCTGATTTTGCTTACTTTTTTCAGTCTTCTGAGGTCCTCACTGCTGAACTTCCCAGGTTTTTCATGGTACCATTCCAGATCTCAAACTCTACATCTCAGGTACATCCTATGAGTGAGGATGAAAACGAGCAAATTCTAGACTCGGACACCACAGAGCCTCTGCTATCCTCAAAATGTCCAGGGAGTTTGAAGTCCTCCAAGAAAGCCCGCTCCCCCAAAGGAAGCCTGAAGTATCCTCCGTTACGTGTCACTCTCCCAGACAATTTTACATGTGATAAACAGTCCCAGCATCGTGATCCATTCCCTTCACTGCGTGACACAACGTCACAGTGTGGAAACGAGTACCAAACACATACCTCAGACCCGAGGTCAACTGCTGCTCCAGCTCAGACAACTGAAAGTAGTCCACTTGTGAATGTGCCTCATAGTTTTACAGTGTCCACAATTGACCCGTGGTCAAGGAAATACCTGAGAAACAGTTTGTATGAGAATCAAACATCACCAAAGGTTATTCTCTCCAAGAAAAACTCATCAAATATTTAATTTCCTTACCGAATACTGCTTTGTTTTTAACATGTTTACTCCAGTGTTTCATCCGTTTGTTTCTCCCAGCATCATAGCTGACATGGATGACAAATATTATCAGCATTAAACAAACCTTCAGTCATCATTTATCTGTAATTTATATTACATTATTATACCTCTACTGATTTTTTTTCCCTATATAACATTAGATCGTTAGATATTACTAATTCCCTAGAAATCATTATGAATGGACTAATCCCCGTGCATTAGTCAAGTGAGTTAATCCCTTCATCAAAAGCTAATTCCCGGTTATCCGTAATCCTCTAGATTTTACTTTTACATTGGTATGATATGTGAATGGACTAATCCCCGTGTGTTAGTTGAGTGAGTTAATCCCTGCTATGAATTCACGTTATCTGAATCCTCTAAATTTTACGTTTGTATCAGTATAATAAAACAGTTAAAAGTATATCATTGCGGGAGTTAGCAAGATTCCAGTTCCCCTCGACCAGGACTATTTCCCTCGGCTTCACCTCGGGAAATAGTCCTGGCCTTGGGGAACTGGAATCTTGCAAACTCCCTCAATGATATACTTTAACTGTATAATATAATCACTTAGAATTTTTGCTACAACAGTTTTCATATGACTGGATATAGCTCATTGAAATCAGCAAACCAAAGTTTCAAGAATGGGTTACTTGTATAATAATTCATTTCATACATGTGTTTACCTGTAAATTTTGTTAACTTCCATAAGAATGAATGTATATTTGTAATACATGTACATGTATATTGCATATTAATGAAAGACAGTTTATTAGAAATCAGACTTTTACTATGATTGAAAACTACTGTAAATCACTTTTTATTTGCAAGCACTTTATTTTAGCGAAATTACGCGAGACAGTGTGCTCGCAAAAATTTCATTCACATGTATATTAGTTTTCCTAAAGATTATATAGAGCAATATCCACATTTGTGAAAATTTTGTCTCGCTGATTAAGAGTAAATGACTATCTTGTGAAAATAAGGTGTCACAAAATTTTAATGATCTACATTAGTTGTTGAGTTATATATTAATAAATTTTGAAGTTCCTGTATTTTACAGATCTTTCTGTGGAGTAGAGAATGATACTGATATAGCATAAAGATCTTATTAACTAGCAAATTAGCATTATATATCATAACCTTTCTTTGCCCAGCATTTCAACAAGGACTGGTTAATATATTGTAATAAGAAGCCATTTTAAGGCTTTTCTCTCTCTGGTATACCCACATTTAAAAGATTCTAAAGTATCTTTTTCTAGTTTTAATGTTTTGTCTCTGAAAAACAAGATAAAACAACAGCTAAAAATTATGTTGGCATTTTCATTCATTCTTATATCGTCAGGGTCACTTAGATGACCTAGCTATTACAAAATATTTGATTTGTCTGTTGACCTGCATCTTGTGTTTTATGTTGTTCTTTAACCTTTGAATATTTTCTGCTTCTTTTCAAGAATAACTGAACCAGTTTCAGTCAGTTTTGGTATGTAATATCTACAGATAAAGGGGAACAAAGATTTTGAATTTCATGTTGTTTACCTCCCTGGGATCTGAAGAATGGAACCCAAACCATAAAAATTTTTGTAATCTTCATAATCTTCTTTACTCATAGATATCTAGACCATCAAACTGGCATGATTGCTTGAAAAACAAGATGTATTTGTGAAACACTGATGCCCCCATATAACAGCTTTTGGCAAAGGTTGAAGTTTCTCAAATGCAAGTCAAACTCCAAGGTCAAGGGATGAAAAATGCTGTTACCCAAAGAAAGGACTTGTTCTCAATGAGTATACCTGTGAAATCTGGAAGCCCAAGCACTAACCATTAACAAGTTATGGTCAAGGTTAAAGTTTTTTAAATGTGGGTCTAACACCAAGTCAAAGGGTCAAATTAAAGGTACCCAGGAAAAGGCCTTGTGATAAGAAATACATATGTGAAATATTAAAGCCATTATAAGCATCTACTGTTCACAAGTTATGGCCAATGTTTATATTTTTCAAAAGTAGGTCAAACTCTGAGGTAAAAAGATCAAAATTTTTAATATCCAAAGGAAGGCCTTGTCACATGGACAACACCTGTGAAGTATGAAGACCCTTGTACTAATTGTTCAAAAGTTAATATGTTCAATGTTAAATTTTTTTGAAAGTGAGTCTAAACTCCAAGGTCAAAAATATTTATATCCATGGAAAGGTCTTAATTATCACAATGAACACACATGTGAAGTATGGAAGTCTTATCACCAACTGTTCAAAAGTTATGGCCAAGGTTAACTAAGGTTGGGTAAATTCTTGCAGAATTGGGTCAAACTCCAAGGTCAAGAAGTAAGACAAGGAAAGGTCTTGTCACAAGAAATACACTGTATACATGTGAAATATGAGAACAATAGCTCCAACCAATCGAAAGTTATGAGCAATGTTAAAGTTTTTGCAGATTAGCAGACAGACAGAAGGACAGACAGGGCAAAAACTATATACCCCCAAATCTTCAATTACGGGGACATAAAAAAGAAATGAACCCTTTACCAAAATTGTGAAATTCATGGCCCCTAGGTTTAGGATGTAGTTAAGTTGTCATATATTGAAAAAACATGTGCATAGTAATGTTGGTTATATTCTGTCAACTTTGTGAAATTTAATGGTACCTAGGGCCATGATTCAGGCCTTAGGGTGGGTCTAAGTTGGTCATATATTGAACTACCTGAAATACATGAATTTTTAGGTCACCTGAGTCACTCAGCTGACCTTTTCTTATCTATTTTCATCCGTCGGTGAGTGTCGTCCTTCATGCATTGGGCATTAACATTTTTCAGGTTCTTCTCTGGAACTGCTGAACCAATTTCAACCAGTTTTGGGTGAATGGGAATAAAAACTGTGAATATCGTGGTCCCTGCCCCCCTGGGGCCTGAAGGTTGGGGCTAAAACCATCAAAATAAATGCAATCTTTAAAATTCTTTATTACTTCTAGACATTGTGCAGTTGAACTGTTGCCATGGTTGTAATAACATTGAGCTGTTAACCAAAATGGTGAAATGTCCCCAGGATCAGGGATGAAGAATTCAGGTTGAGGGCTAATGACCACATAGTGAAAATAAATAAATTCTTCAAAAATGATCCTCTCTCCCCCTGTATATTTAGCAAATGAACTAGGTGCATGGTAATGATGAATAATGGTGCCTTTTCGAAAATTGATATTTATGGCCCCAGGGTAGAGGGTGAAGGTGGGGCTCTTATGATTACATAGTAAAAATGCATTAATTCTTTAAAAATCTTATTCTCTGCTTCTGGGTATTAAGGGGGAAAAACAAGTGCATGGTTTATGATGAGCAAGAATGCCTCTTCCAAATTGAATTTCACGGCCCCAGGGTATGAATTATATAGTGAAAATGCATAATATCTTTGAAAAACTTCTTCTCTGCTCCTGAGTATTAAAGTAAAAGAACCAAGTGTGTGGTGATGATCAAGGGTGCCTCTTCCAAAACTACATATTTCATGGCCACAGGGTCAGGAGTTCTGGTGTTAGGGCAGGGTCCTATTGATTGTATACGGAAAATACATTATTTCTTTGAAAATCTTCTTCTCTGCTCCTAAGTAGAAATGAAAAATCTAAGTTCATGGTTATAACGAGTAAGGGTGCCTCTCGAAATTTTTAATTTCTTGGCCATGGGTTTAGGGGTTTTGGTGTTAGGGTTGGGCTCTGTCAATTATTTAGTGAAAATGCATCATTTCTTTTAAAACCTTCTTCTCAGCACCTGGGTATCAAGGAAACAAACTACATGTAATTGCAAAGTTATGATGAGCAAGACTGTTTCTTCTTAAATTGTTAAATTCATAGCCCCTGGGTCAGGTGTTTGGTTTTTGGGTGGGGCTCTATTGATGATAGAGTAAAATTTCTTTGAAGATCTTCTTTGCTCCTGGGTATTAAGCAATCTTAGTGCATAATTATAATGAGCAAGGATGCATCTTCCAAAATTGTGAAATTCATGGCCCCTGGGTTAAGGGTTAGAGAGTGCTCTATTTATAATAGAGTAAAAATGCATTTTTTCTATTAAAATCTTCTTTGCTCATGGGTATTTAGCAGATAAACTAAATGTGTGGTTATGCTAAGCAAGGGTGTCCAGGGTTTCCGAAAACCAAATATTTCTGTCGGTCATTTGGCTTATTGATTTAATGTGTTCTACCAGTCCGAAGCAAATTCTATCAGTCCGAATAAATCTTAGTATATTTCATGATGTAATTCAAAAGAAAATGGCATTGGTTTATAGTACTCAAATTGAGTGTGTAAAACTTTCCACAGATCATTACAACACCGATTGTGAGACCACGGGTATGCAATTAAAAAGTTCAAGCACTAGCCCATGGGCTAGTGGCAGCAATAAAGTCACTAGCCCCAAGTAAAAAGTTGCTAGCCGAAATTTGGGGGGGGGGGGGGGGTAACAACTAATATGAAAAAAAAGTTTAATGTTGAAAAAGTCAGGGTCTTAAAATCATTCTTTTTAAAATTAAAAGTTTAATTCTCATTTGTAAAATTGAATCATGTATAAATTAATAATTATGATAGAAAATAAAAATGAATTCAAATAAATTATCTTCCCTTTTTCTGGGCATTGCACTAGCTCATCTAAACTGAAGTGAATTTTTTTTTTTTATCTTTAATCTTTAAATACATTGGAACTATATTTTATGTAAATCACATAACACTCATCTTTCAGTTGATTGAGTGATTGTTAATAATTTAACAAGATATCTGCATGTGTTTACCATAAACAGAGGAATGGAGGAAATTCGGATTAGGGGGAAAACAATCGTTTTTGGAGGTAAATAAGTCAGGTACTACTGCAAAATGGATAAGATTATGGAGATTTGCGAACAATAGGAGCATGCTGGCTGGAATTTTTTTCATTTATTGGGAATGTAATAGCAAAGATTGAGTGAAAATACCAGCAGTGCTTTTCATGTATCACATTGGTAGTTTTAACTTTTACTAGCCCAATGGACTATCTCTGTGCAGAAAACTACTGGCAAAACCCCCAAAATTTGTAGCCCCAGGTGTTGAGCGATGCTAATTGCACACCCCTGGAGACATCACAATAGATCGGAGTACAATTAATTAGAATAATCTAACTGTGTCTCAAGACAAGCCTTTGATCACAAAAATCTGTCACACGGATGTCTAAAATAGCGAATTGCATCTGACAATTCGATTTTCTATCGATTTTGCCAGTCAGGACCGATGGTTTTCGGAAACTCTGGATGTCTCTAAATTCATGGCCCCTGAGTCAGGGGTTCTGGTGTTAGAGTGGGGCTCTATTGATCAAATAGTGGAAATTCATAAATTCTTTAAAAATCATCTTCTCTAGGTTTCTAATAGACAAACATTGCATTTATGATGTGCAAGGATACCTCTTCCAAAAATATGGAAGTCGTGTCCTCTGGGTTAGAGGTTCTGGTGGTGGAAAGGGTCTTATCAATTATATAATTAAAAGTGAAAATGCGTTAGTGTATAAGCACTGTCAAGTACACGCAGAAATAGATCTGCTTAATGATTTGTTGCTGAGTACTAAATTTACTATTTTGCTGATTCCTGATCATCATATTTTTTTTTAATTTGGGCAATATATCTTCATTTATCTGTTTTTGTGTTATTAGCTCTTCTGAGCCAAAGGCTCAAAGAGCTAATGCTATGGCCATTTGTGTGGTGTGCATAACCTTTTTGGAAAATGGGCTATATCTCATGAACCCCTTTAGTCAATTTTTTTCAAATTTTGTCACAGAGTATCCTTGGCTCAAGGGCTTTCATTTGTACTAAAACTAGGGATGTGCCCCTTAAACAAGGGGAGATAATTAGGGAAATAAAAACAAAAGTACTGGTTGCTAAAAAAAATCTTCTCAAGAACCACTTGGCAGATTATCACCAAACTTGCATACAAGGATGAGGATATGTTGTAGATTAAAAATTGTTCAAGGCATCACCCTGGGGCAAAGGGTGTGGTCTCAAGGTCACTTCAAATTTGACCAAAATTTAGGTTTTGTTTAATCTTTGATATTTTGCCCACTATAAGGCCTAGGATCATAAAATCTGTCATTTGATGCATCTAAGGACTTCGTGTCATGTTGACTCAAACGTAGGTCACAATGACCTACTTTTTGAATTTTGCAGGTATTCATTTTAATTTTGATACATAACTTGGATACTTTGAAGTCAGAGATCATTAAAACTTATCAGTTTATGCATCATGGGACCTTAAAGTGCGTCAACAAAAAGGGGGTCACTGTGACCTACTTTCTGAATTTTATGGCTAATCAATTTCTTAACATTAGAGGTCATTATTTCAGATACTAAGAGGTTAAGAATCATCAAACTTTGTAAGTTGATGCACCCAGGGGGCCTTAAAACAGTTTTTTTTTTTACAGGTATTCATTTTCAAATTGTTTTAGAGGCATATTTTGGACATTTTGAAGCATAGGATCATCAAACTTTGTCAATTGATGCATCTTAAGTCCTTGTAGTTTGTCATCCA